CCTTGCGAGGAATTTTGCATTACGTCTGTGTAATTTAGCAAATTCAAACGAGCACTCCATGGTTGCTACGACGGCCATTTTGCTTTCAAATACTATCTCCGCAAGTATTTGGTCAACTCCAGCAGGCCAGCTTCTCGCCCGCATGTCGTACAGAACCTTTCTTATTTTTTGTGTGTCACGTTGACAATGTTGAACTAATAACCATGTGTTTACAGCAAACGTATTAGCAGCCCATGTCAGTTTATTTTCGTCTTCGATATTTTGAAATGATCTTTTTAGATTATTTGTATCGTTCGTAAGTAAGTTCAACCTCTCAGGTGGGTATACGTTATCAATTAAACTTTTCATATCATAAAAATGTACCTGTAATTCTTCCGAATGTGGAATTGTTGCCCTACGTATTTGTCTTTGGATGGGACCATTATGCTCAATATGAATATCTTCAGCAAGGTCTGATAGACCTATAAGGTCAAGAATTTCACATGGTTGAACAATCGATTCCTTCTGAAAGATTAAAAGAACAAGAATCTGAAGTTTTTCACGGCTTGTATATTGTGAATTTGGATTGGATACTATTTGCCGTAGATGTTTACAAAATCTAGGCGGAAATATACCCTTTACTTCAAGAGTATGTACTGCTCCAATTGTGTCAAAGAATTGATGATGATGATTTTCTAGTGCAGTAATTATGTCATTCATTAATGATGTATTTTTATTTCTTGTTATAGTTGTCCATATATCAACCATGCCCGAATTCCCATCAAGTTCTGCCATATTTCCGACACGTTATCACTTTGAATGATTTTCCTGTACAATACTTACAAATCTGGAACCACACTAACTTTCAAGAGTTGTAAGTCAACAAAACTAACAAAACAAAACCATGTTTTAAAAACTAAAACTTGATCCACTGTATGAGGACCTGAGACGGACCACATCCTTCATCGTAGATACTGGCGTAGTCGTGTAATTGCGAACGCCAGTAAGTAAGTATCCTCTATATAATCATAACTACGCAATATCTTAACTTCCGATTTCATGGGTTATTTTCGCAAATCTATATTTAAATCTAAGGCAAAAGTAAAAAGCAGATAACCACATGACGTGGCGATATCATCACAAGTAAAATGTCCTACTTTTGAAAATACTTGTCAGATAAAAATTGTAATAGAAGAAGTAAGACTGATAATTTTCAGTCATTGATGTCTAGTGGAAAATCATATAAAAAGATGATAAACAAGAAAATCAAGTCTTATTTAGATCATATTATTAAATAGATACTTGGGTTAAAAGAGTCTGACCCAAAAACGTTTTGGGGTATGTGAAATGGACATTGCATTGATAGCAGGGATACTGTAAATTATATTTTAAAAGAAGTCATTTTTGAACATTTTGTTAAGTTGAATGAGCCTGATCTAGATATTGACAATTTAGATCTTGAGAATGTACAAGTTGTTTCTCCAGAAATTACTAATGAAGAAATTAAGAAAAAATAAAGTATTTTTTTTTATTTAAACAAGTCCTTCTGTATTTGATTATATCTTAAATGAATATCTAAAAATGTAAATAATGAATCGGTTTAAAATTATTTGTTTATTGTTTAATGCTATTTTGGATTCAGATATTTTTTCCTGAGTTTTGGAATCAGGATATTATTAATCCTATATGTACAACAAGAGGGCCATGTAGGCCCTGTGTCACTAACCAGAAACAACTGCTTTTCAGAGTTGAAAATTATCCATTGTCAATATTTTATGATTTTTAATTTGAGCATAGAATATGTTTAAACAATAATTTGAAGAAATGCCATGACCTGGGACATTTAAGCTTTAGCTTAAACGGCGCTTATCAAATTAATATGAGCAAACTTGATAAAAGCGTACATAAGAATGCTACAGACAAAGTTTGGTGATCATCCATCCATTAGTTCTGTAGAAGATGTCTTAAGGTTTTTCTATTTTTAACCCTAGAGACGCCTTAAAGGGGCCAATCAAATTAATATGAGCAAATTTGGTAAAAGTCTACACAAGAATGCTACAGACAAAGTTTCGTGATCATCCATCCATTAGTTCTCTAGATATAGATGTTTAAAGGTACTTCTATTTTTAGCTTTAGCGGCCCTTAAAAGGGGCCAGTCAAATTAATATGAGCAAATTTGATAAAAGACTACCAAAGAATTCTACAGACAAAGTTTGGTGATTATCCATTAATTATTTCTGTAGAAGAAGATGTTTAAAGCTTTTTCTATTTTCAGCTCTATTGACCCCTAAAAGGGGCCAATTGAAATGACATGAGCAAATTCAAGTGTGACTGTCACAAGGATGCTACAGACCATGTTTGAAGTAAATCTGCCCAGCAGTTTCAGAGAAGATGATTTTTGACGCATGACGACGTACGCCGGAGTATCCCCCTTTGATACTAATAGCTCACCCTGAGCCTTCGGCTCTGGTGAGCTAAAAGTAAGTCAACAATTATAGAGGGATAACAATTAAAAATTGTTTTGGCAAAATATTTACAAATATGCTAAATAATAAGACTGAATTAGCATTTGGAATGAAACAGTGACCTTGACCCAAGGGAGTCCAAAAGCAATCCCAAACACGTATTCATATAAGCTTGCTATATACCAAGTTTGATTACAATATCTCATTTCTAACTTTTTTTATTGTCCATAAACCGTTTTTCTATTTTTCAGTAACAGTGACCTCGACCCCAGGAGGTCCAAAATCAATCCCAACCAGTCTTCATATTAGCTTGCTATACACCAAGTTTGATTACAATACCTCATTCGTAACCTCTATGCCAGGTAACCATTTTTCTATTTTAAATAACAGTGACCTTGACCCAAGGAAAGGCAAAATCAATCTCAACCAGTCTTCATAATTATTAGCTTGTTAAACACCAAGTTTGATTACAATATCTCATTTTTAACTCTAGTTAATGTCTGGAGACCATTTTTCTATTTTTAGTAACAGTGATATTGACCACACTGGGTCAAACAACAGTCAAAACCCGGGTTTTCACATAAAGTTACTAAATGTAAGTTCGATTGCATAACAAATTTCTGACCCTCGCCATTGTCTGGAAACCATTTTTCTACTTTTAGTAACAGTGACCTTGACCCCAGGGGGTCCAAAGGCAATCCAAACCAAGTCTTCATATAACTTGCTAGTTACTTAGCTTTCTATATACCAAGTTCGATTATAATATCTCATTCCCATCTCTTGTTATTGCCTGGAAACTATTTTTCTTTTTTAGTAACAGTTTCTTGATCCCTGCGAGTCTAAAAGCAATCCTAACCAGGGTCTTCATATAAGCTTGCTAAGTTTGATTAAGATATCTCATTCCTAACTTGGACCAATGGATCAACAAGCTGACTCCTATATAGCCCTCAGGGTATAATAAAACAAGAGGGCCATGATGGCCCTGAGGTCGCTCACCTGTATATAGGCCCCCAACGTTGCAGGGCCAATTTAACCCAAGGGCTTTTATTTGCACAAACTTGGTAGACACCCATAAGATGTTTCATGCTAAACATCTAAGCTCTTGCTCATTGGGCTTTTTTAAAAGAAGATTTTTTTTAAAGTTTTTACTATAATACATATAGTTAAAAACAATGACACCCCTGGGGCTGGGCCAGTTTTGACCCCAAGGGCTTTTATTTGAACAAACTTTGTAGACACTTACTAGAAGATGTTTCATGCTAAATATCTAAACTCTAGCTATTTGGGTTTTTTCAAAGAAGATTTTAAGTTTTTGCTATACACATATAAAGAAAATCAATGACCCCCGGGGCTGGGCCAATTTTGACCCCAGGTCTTTTATAACTTTGTAGACACTTACTAAAAGATGTTTCATGCTTAATATCTTAACTCTAGCTATTTGGGTTTTTTCAAAGAAGATTTTTTAAGTTTTTGCTATACACATATAAGGAAAATCAATGACCCCCGGGGCGGTGCCAATTTTGACCCCAGGGCTTTTATTTGAACAAACTTGGTAGACACCTATTAGAACATGTTTGATGCTAAATATCTTAGCCATAGCTCTTTGAGTTCTTTAAAAGAAGATTTTTTAAGTTTTTACTATATGCATATAGGGAAAATCAATGACCCCCCCCGGAGCGGGGCCAATTTTGACCCCAGGGCTTTTATTTGAACAAACTTGGTAGACACTTATTAGAACATGTTTCACGCTAAATATCTTAGCTCTAACTCTTTTGGTTCTTTAAAAGAAGATTTTTTAAGTTTTTACTATATGCATATAGGGAAAATCAATGACCCCCTGGGGCGGGGCCTATTTTGACCCCAGGGCTTTTATTTGAACAAACTTGGTAGACACCTATTAGAACATGTTTGATGCTCAATATCTTAGCCATAGCTCATCGAGTTCTTTAAAAGAAGATTTTTTAAGTTTTTACTATATGCATATAGGGAAAATCAATGACCCCCCGGGGCGGGGCCAATTTTGACCCCAGGGCTTTTATTTGAACAAACTTGGTAGACACCCATTAGAACATGTTTCATGCTAAATATCTTAGCTCTAGGTCTTTGGGTTCTTTAAAAGAAGATTTTTTAAGTTTTTACTATATGCATATAGGGAAAATCAATGACCCCCCGGGGCCGGGCCAATTTTGACCCCAGGGCTTTTATTTGAACAAACTTGGTAGAGACTCACTAGAAGATGTTTCATGCCATATATCTAAGCTCTAGCTCTTCTGGTTTTTTAAAAGAAGATATTTAAAGTTTTTTCTTTCGGTTGCCATGGCAACCAGAGTTCTGCATGGAATTAAATTCTTTGAACAATTTTTAAAGGTGACCACCAAAGGAACATTCCTGTGAAGTTTCGATGAAATTGGCTTAGTGGTTTATGAGGAGATGTCATTTAAAGTAAAAGTTTACGGACGGAAGACGGACGGACGCCGGACGAAAAGCGATCACAAAAGCTCACCCTGTCACTTTGTGACAGGTGAGCTAAAAACTGAACAACCCATCAACAACAAATACATCATGTCCACATTTTATTTTCAGCAATATTTAGCACAATCCCATTCATGAACATATACAAAAACAATGAGAAGTACAACAACAAATACAAAAATACAATGTACAACCGTAATCAGCGGATACATAAAACCCTCTGATCAATCCATCAAAATTTATAAAAATTATAAATCAGTCATTAAGGGCGGTGATCTATATAAAAAAGTGTTCAAAGTGCCTGCACTATTATTCGAGATGGCCATGTTAAAAAAAATTAATTCGCTCAATACAAAAGACATGGCTTACACCAAAGATATATTTATCTTAGTGCCAACAAATATGTTGACTTCGATAAATAACAAGTCCTAAGTATATCCCAAGTCCTAGGACTCATGAGTATCCTAAAACCATCAATAGGACTAACGCAAGACCAATTCAATACATATCATTTAGTCACAGACTCAGATTCTGTACCAGATATTTATATGTTTGTGTCAACATATACCTGGGCTGCAATCCATAGAGAGTCTTAGATATATCCAAAGTCCTTGGACTAATGACCAACAATAGGACTAGCACAAGAACAGTTCAATACATATTATTTAGTCAATGACTTGTACCAGATATTTATATTTTTGTACCAACACATACAGACTGCAATCCATAGCTTGTCCCAAGTCCTAGTACTTATGACCACAATCAGACTGATTTAAAACGGTTTTAATACATTTTTTTAAGTCAAAGACTTTAATTAATTTCATTTTCACGAAAAAGAGATACAATGGCACACACTTTAATGTACACACTTTAACAATCTGTTAATGTTCATCAGAAAATTGCTATAAATGTCTTAGTTTTGGTCTAAAAGCTGCACGCCTCCAGATGAGCCAAAATATTTAAACAAAATCAATCTTTAGAAAAATGTATTAAGATCTTTAAAAAAAATCATTTACATGTTATGCGCGATTAATGACTGATTTTGTAATATCAATCACTATTATTTTACTGCGTTACTTACACAGTAAGAGGTATTTATGTTTATTTGACCTCTTTTTGGTAATTTATGTGTATTGTAAGTGCCGTTTGCAATGTGTTAAACTACTTTCTTTGTTCACTTCACAATATTTCATTTTTAAATAAATTTTCAAAATTTTCATGAAAATAAGCATAATATGGAGGCATGCTGCTTTAAGACTAATTTACGACTTTCCATGAAAAGCAACCCAGAGTCGAATGATTATAAAAAAATAGAATCAGTCCTCTTTATAACCCTGATTTTGTAAATAACCATCTGATTAATGTTTAATTTCATTTTGTTGTTTTTCAATCCACACTGACAATTTTCAAATTTCACTTTTTAGTACAATACATACCAAAAAAAAAAAACCACCAAGGTCAAAATATGCAAAAATAGCCCTCACCGTATTACTCATACATAAATATAGTGAAAAAATACTGAAAAATAAGTCATTACTCGTGCAAAACATGTAAACTGTTTGATTTGTTAAATATTTTAGCTCATCTGGAGGCAAGCAGGTTTAATACAAATAAACTGACATCACATAAATTTTGTTGAATACACAAAAATAAAGCAATTCCCATAACACTAAATTTTGAATTATCTCCCTTTGAATTTATCACACATACACACACATAAATGCAATAATACTGTAAAAAGTTCACCATGTGAACAAAATATTTATACAAAATCCTCCAACAATTGTCAATCTATACAATGCAATATCACTGTACATTCCTTGCTTACAATACTTCATGCAAAAATGTACATTGCTGTTCTTTTGCTTTGTCTTTGATGGCACTTTATGTTGATGTCTTTTAACTGTCTAGTGATCTGAAAATAAAGATACTGTCTTACAACACTCGGAAAATGCAAAATTTTAATATTTAATCACATCATGTCTGAAGTAATTAAAATGGATATATGGGCAATATTGTAATTTGAGCAATTTGTTATCTGCTATAAGTAGACACTGTCACTAACATTACATTAGTATAATACTCAACAACTAAACTGAAGGGGAGCGGTGCCCTAGTGGTTAACTTAAGGTCCTGCCTCACAACCCAGGGATCATGGGTTCGAGCCCTACTCTGATCAAGACCATGTTTCCACATGACACCAGTACTGGTTAGTTCCAGGAAGCAGAATCAAAAGTGATTAATATAAGTTGCAAGAACTTGTATTGCAATCCAGCTTAAATAAATATGTTTAAACCAACTAAACATCAAAGAGGTAATACTCACTTTATCTGCCAGATCTAGGACCGCCCCTTCCTCTGTATCCACCACGCCCTCTACCTCCCCTGGAATACATCATACCGCCTCCCTGTCTATTTGTTTGAACCATAGGGTTTTCATTCTTAATAAAATAAATAAAATTGAGTGTTTTTCATGAAAACATTTAAGTTAATTTTTTTCTCTCACTTTTTGTAAAATTTCATCTTTTCATATGTTATGCTGCTTCTAATTTAATATTTCCATTACCATTTTAATCTTTCATGATAATAAATTGCCATAATCAATGTACAAATCTAAAAACATTAATTTTTATCCTGATTTTGCTTCTGACTTTAATTATTCCTGAACACATGACCAGAATCATACCATTGGTAACTAATAAAACATTTAAATACATAGACTGATAGTGAAACATACATATTGGACGATTAACTAAATATTTTTTCCATAAAATAACATATCTTACCCGATATTCATTAAATTCATCCACTGGAGGTGTCACAGCTGTACTCTAGAAATAAAAAAATTGTATTTATAGCATTAACCTCAAATTATACAGCACTTAGTAATCAAACTCGTATATTTCCCTCATTTCATTACAAAAATTTCAGGGGATGTAACTATCTGTCCTCATCTCAGAACTAGGCTACAATTGTATCAAACAGAAATTTTGAAATTGATCAAATGGTAAGTTTTCATTTTTTACATTCAATGTCAAAATTAATGTCTAGAAAAAAGATGCCTCAACCAAGAATTACATTGACCATACTTGGTTAAACTATTCCAATTGGCATTTTATCGGTTAAGTTTTTAATTCCATACCAATACCCTATATCATTTTTTGTTTAGTTTGGTTTTACAATGCACCAACATAATTTAGGTCATGTGGCGCTGAAACAGGAAAGCTGATTTTGACTAACCTAAGGTGTTACATAATTAAAAGTCAAAACCACCTCACCTGCTGGAGCTTAGAGATGCATAGACTCTAATAATTCAACCTCTAAAATTCACACTAAAATCTACCAATTCATTAGTAAATGCAACTTCCCAGCTTCACTGGTGGGGGATGACCTCAGTATCAAAGTATTTTTCAGAATAATAGACAAACAATTTGGTGTATACTAGACAAACAATTTGATGTATAAGTACTTACAGCCCTACGTAGTAATGCATCAATTTCTTCCCTGGATGGATCCGGCTGAAAAATGTATAGCAAAAATAATAACATAAGAATATTTACTTTGTACACATGATAGATATATACATTGTATATCAAGAATAAGTTAATAAATTAAAACAAACAAGACAGTTTCTTTGGGTTTGTTTCTCGCACAAATCTTTATTAATTTATTTCAGGGGATTTAGCCACACCAACACTTAACTGGCATCATATATGTTTTATGTTACAATGTAAGTTCTATAAGTCATGAATACAGATTACAGTTTGTGTGTGTACTGATTCCCACCACGGTATGTTTTATTTTCTATTTTCTTTTATCCAGCTGGCTGCCACCAGTGCAGACCAATATCAGCCAGCACATCCGTTTGTACTGTTGATTATTCAGTCAGGACATGTACTGGTACATATTTTACAAGTTTCCCGTTAGATAAATGATTTTGTCTATATTTAAAGACGGACAAGAACATTTTAGATATTAAGCATGGAAAGGGTTTCGCAATAACTTACAACAATATCATCGTCACCATTTGGCTCCTCATACATCCCCTCATCATAATCATCTCTGTACCTGCTCCTCTCATCTGAAACTTCTCTACTGCCCGATGCTCTACTGTCAAAAGCATCACCAACACGTCTTTCCCCCATGTTATAACTCTGCCTTTCATTCCTATCCCTTCTAAAATCCCCCTGATTCCGGTCATCTCCTCTGAAGTCTTCATGCCATTCCCTGACATGTCTTGAGGTTTCTTCTCCCTCTCTTCTCTTTGTGTCACCAAAGTAACGATTATCCTGTACCTCGACCCTGTCTCTATGTCGATCAGCAAGATAAACATCTTTATCATCTCTCCTCCTCTCATTTGCATGTGGAGGATACTCTCGCTCTCTGCTGTTCCTCTTCATATCCGAACCGCGTCTAGAATACGAACCATACCTACTGGTTTTGTCTCTGAATTCATCAGCTTTACTGCTACCCATACCAAGTCTGTCTGAATGAACATTGTAAGTTCTTTCGTTTCTTTCACTCCTTTTATACAACTCATCATCATAACCCCTGCGATTCTCAAAGCGATCACGATTTTCAAACTCATTCTTATAAGTTTCCCGTTCGTCAAAGTATCTGTCATCGTGAGTTTTGTATTCATAGCTATCTTTTTGTCTTTCTCCAGCAAACCTAGTATCAATCATATCATCCCATTCGGTCTCCTTACCAATAAAATTGTCGTAGTCTTCATCTACACGCCCACTATACCTCCTCACTAGATCATCTACTTTAGCTTCATCAAGAGGTTCATTATAGTCTTCATAAGGAATTTGCTCTTCACCATAAAAGGTAGGTTCTCTTCTGTTATCAGGACGGTTCTCTCGTACTCTTTCTCTTCTGTGAGAATCATCCGTTTCTCTACCTGGACTAGGTCTGCGATCAGATCTTCTTGAAAATCTAACAGTTCTATTTCCAAACTTACTAGCATTGTCTCTCTCTCTAATCTGAGGAGGAGGACTTCTTCTGTCAGATCTGAAAGGGCTTCTGGATCTTCTCCTATCCCTTGCATGATCTCTATCTAAATCTCTATCTTTTCTTCTATCAAATCCTTCACCCACATACTTTCTTTCACCAGAATCTTTACTCATCCTACCAAAAGACGGACTCCTTCGTGGACTTGCTACATTCTCAGATTTTATATCAGTTAACCTGTCTTCATTTCTTAATCGTTTGTTACTATCATTGTACCTAGATTCTCTGTCGTATCTTTTAATTCCTCTGTCTGATTCTCGGTTATCTCTTTGTTTATCTCTACCATCAAAATCTTTGTTGTACTGTTTGTTATATCTATTCTTTTCCTCATCATTTCTTACGTCATGAACTGAATTATTTTTATCAAACCTTTGCCTGTCTTCCACCAAATCTATCTTTTTATTATTAAATGCATTTGAGTTTACAGTTTGTACAATATTAGATTGCTCCTTGTTTCTAGCCCCTGTAATTATCTGTGAATTTGTAGATAAATGAGTTACATTGTTGGTTGTCATGGGGTTAAAAGAAGATCCATACTGAGAGGACGATGGTATTAAAGAAGGAACAGGTCCGGTTAATGTTTGGTTCTGTTTCTGCCAAGGTGGCGGTCTTTGACAAACTGAATTTGGTGGCTGATTAACAAAGTTAGAATGTTGGTTGGTAGATAGCACAATTGAAGACGAACTTGAAATAATAGGTGTGTTTGGAAGAGTTGATGGAGAGCTTGAGTAAACTGGCATTCTTGGAGGCTGCCCATGAGGCATCAGGGGTTGCTGGATTGAGGAAACAGGTAAAGATGATGGTGCTCCTAGGTCTGGTCTAAGATGCGGATTCTGACTCATTTGCGGGTAAGGCATTGGTGGTGGCCTTTGGACCGGATTGGTAGATAACAATGGTCTAGGTCTTGGTCCTGGCACAAGAGGTTGTCGCTGAGGTACTGAATTAGAATTGTAGAAAGGAACTGGCATAGACTGAATTTGATGTCCTCCAGTTACAGCTGGATTATTAGCTACCGGTGGAGCAAACTGCTGAATAGAATTCCCACTAGGAGGTGGAACAGAAACATTTGAAGCACTCTGATACTGCAATTGTGGAGGCATCGATGTTGCAATGGAAACTCCCTGGACTTGCCCTGCTTGTACATTATGTTGAGGATATGGCATGGTAGGAAAGGAAGCTGAGGGAGGGGGACGAAGTGGTGGTGGTCTTAGCAAAGGAGGTTGTAAAGGAGGTGGCTGGACCTGTTGATGAACAAGCACTGGAGCTTGTTGCTGAACTAATGCGGGAACTTGAGCTTGAACTGTCTGAGGTGGCTGTACAAGATATGATTGTTGAATTTGTGTTCCAGGATTTAAAACTGGAGCAATGCTTGAGGGGAAAGTTGTTTGAGCCGGTGGGTTGGTCACATGAGTTTGAGCTGGTTGGTTGGTTAGATGAGTTTCAGGAGGCTTTGAATCTCTTGCAGCTTCAACAGTTACTGCAGCAGGTTGTTCTGAAACTTTTTTACTGGATAATGACCTTAAAAATAAAGTATAAAAAATTATATCAAGTACTAAGCTAATATATCAACACTACTTTTTATTTAGAAAAAAAACAAGAGTTTTTTTTGTATCAATATTACATTGTATTATAGTAGGAAAATATATGGTGCTCCTCACAGCATAAATTTCAGGATTCCTTTTTCTGTCTAACAAGAAATAACATTCAAATTGTAATGTCAATCACAGCTGAGCTATAAAACCGGCTGCAAGGGAAAAAACACACAGAAGTAAAATTGGCACCTTCTTTATTTCAAAATCTAAACAATTAGAATGCAAAATTTTCCATTTTTACAGATCACTTTTCAAAATGATGTCAGCATCTTAACATTTCTAATGCAAGTACTTGATCTTCTATAACAGGCCTAAGAAAAGGTTTTTAGACAAAAATATTATATACAAAAGGTAACTTACGTAGATGCAATGTTTATCTGTATACCAGATGGTTGGGTAGTAGATGTTGCTGTACCATATGCTTTGACATTTTCTGAAAAATTTCAACCGTTCCTACAGTTAATTATTTGACGGTACATTAGATCTCCATCCAAGTTTTAACACAAATGTGGTCAAATATCTGCTGTTGGTCCAATTTTTTTAAAATTTTTGGTTGGGTCATACGTCACACCAACACAATATAGGTGATATGGCGACTTTCCAACTTTACTGGTGGAGGAAGACATTAAATGTCTTGTTGTTTTGGTTGGGTCTTACATCTAACCAACACAGTATAGGTCATATGGCAACTTTCCAGGCAGCTGAGTAGAACCACTGACGTTCCATAACCTAGCTTGATAGTTTTATCACATGTAGAATCTGCTGAGCCTTGCGCTGCTTGCACCTACAGCAATGACAGGCAAGTGGTTTGAAGTCAACTACCTTAACCACTCGGCCACGGTCGTAGAAAACTATGCCGTAATTACTAAATTCTCTGCCAGTGACTTGTTACTTATACCACATGAATGTCAGAATCAGCAGTGAGAGGCAAACGACCCTTTGGCTCAATGTCCAGGATTAAATGTCAAGGAAAAACTCTCCTTGCTCAAGGATACATCTAGCGGCACCTGGAAATCCTGTGCTCTTTCTACTGAGCTAAGCAGGCGGAATTGTTTCATGAAACTCTGAATCAGTAATATTCCTATGATAAAATATCTTTTGTTGATACATTGTATAATATTTCTATCTTTGTTGATATAAAATTTTAGTAAGACTTAATGTTGTACAGAATAAAGTTTTGAATGTTTTTTTTGTTTTTTTGTTTGTTTTTTTTTTAAATGACCCAAAATTGGGGCAAAATGCCAAAATAATAAGCAACTTTGCACCATCATGATTTCATATTCAATGAAAGGTATAAAATATCGACCAGGAGTAACACATGTATATTTGTTAACACTATGGCTTTTTACAATTCATATTGAAAAGTTACAAGCTTAATACTATGAATTCACTTAATTTTCGTGGGCATGAAATTTCGTGAATTTATCACAAAAAACATTTTCGTGAGTTCTGTAATTCAAGGACTGGTTTTCTTCTTACCTTTCAATAAAAACCATGAATATTAGTTCCCAACGAATAATAAGGATTTTGCAGTATTCAGATAAACTAATGATTACCTTGTACTTTAGCAACAGATTTGAATGCCTCCGTGTTTATCTTAAGTTCAAGCATAACTTCTAATTGCGTCGGAGGGCCCTCGATACTCGAGATCTCTTTAGAATATTGCTCGATCAGGGGCCGAGCAGACTGTTTATCCTTCTTGATGGCGTGATACACTGCGTTATACATCTGACGATAATCACTTTTTTTCTGTAAATATACCATGATCGAACAAATAAACATGCCATCATTTTTTTTTTAACCTACTGAAATGATTAATTCTGCCAAGAATTTATGTGGCATTATAAATAATAGTAAATAAACGATTCTTTTTTTTTTTTTTGTAGGGTTTTTATATTGCACCAACACAGTATAGGTGTCATATGACAACTTTCCAGTTTTACTGGTGAAGGAACACTTAAGATGCCCTTCTGTGCATTATTCTAGGCAAGAACGGGTACCTGAGTAAAACATTCCTTTGTTAATTATAATACTTTATTTTTGTTCGGGCCAATTCTCCTACACTTTAAAAACTAATGACTTGAAATTTCATAGGATGACAGATCTCATTGAGAAGAAGTGCTGCACAAGAACTTGTACTTCATGATTTTTTAGTTACTGCCCTTTGTTATTTTTTTTTACTTAATAGGCTTGTCCAGAGCATAACTTGGTCACTATAAGTTTGATCGACTCCAAATTTGGTATGTAAGCTTTTTTCATTGACCTAAAGTGCAGTGCCATAACTAGTTTGAAAGCTTTCGCGCATGATGGAAATCCAAAGTCACTGTCAGGATTTGAACCCACAGCAGTGAGGGGAAGTGAGGAGAAAGTGGTTCAAAGTCAACGACCTTAACCACTAGAGAGTCGATAGGAACTCCTTTAAACTGACAAATTAAAAGAACTTATCTATGCATTTTAAATAGGATATATATATTAATATATAAAGCGATTAGTTTACAAAATAAGGATGTACCATATAATTTATGTTGAAAAACCATATAATTTATGTTGAAAAACCATATAATTTATGTTGACATACCATATAATTCATGTTGACATACCATATAATTTATGTTGACATACCATATAATTTATGTTGAAAAACCATATAATTTATGTTGACATACCATATAATTCATGTTGACATACCATATAATTCATGTTGACATACCATATAATTCATATTGACATACCATATAATTCATGTTGACATATCATATAATTTATGTTGACATACCATATAATTTATGTTGACATACCATTTATGTTGACATACCATATAATTTGTGTTGACATACCATATAATTTATGTTGACATACCATATAATTTATGTTGACATACCATATAATTTATGTTGACATACCATATCATTCATGTTGACATACCATATCATTTATGTTGACATACCATATAATTTATGTTGACATACCATATCATTTATGTTGACATACCATATAATTTATGTTGACATACCATATAATTTATGCTGACATACCATATAATTTATGTTGACATACCATAATTTTATGCTGACATACCATATAATTAAGTCTATGAAGATTTGAGGTCACATGATCGAGGATATTTTTCCACTGTAATTTCTGTTGACACATTGAGCACATGTACCAGGGCTCTTGCTTCACGTCCTGTTTCTGAAACTCTGTTACCCACTGAATACCTGATATAAATAAACAAGAAAAGTGAATCCCTTGAGAACAAGTTTAATTTTACTGCTCAGCCCAACACCGCATTTTGAGGTCTGTGATGCAATGTATATCAAGTTATGAACATACACAGCTGTGGATAAAAAATGAACCATTTAAATATATATTACAACACATATAGACTAGATTGCCACTAACAGTGAGTTAAGATAACTTAAAATGCCATTATTCCTCTATATTGGTAGTTAAGGTAACGTCTTAAAGGGACCCCACCGAGGCTTTTTGACATGATGGGACTGGAAATATTTTGCGACATCAATGTTCCATTTGATGAAGGTCTAGACCAATATCTTATGTGCAAAATTCCATATCATTCACTCACTCCAGAATATATCATATACTCACTCCAGACCCAGACCCGAAATCTAACAGCCTTGTAATACTTTTGACTCAAATATGGATAGAATAGCACAAAAATACATTTTTCAATATATTTCAGAATTCATTTCATAATTATCTTTTGCATCACTTTTTTATTTAAAGTGACCTAGCTGATCTATGTAAAGAAATTCAAATTTTATTTTTTATGCTTTTGGACCTCAGTGCAGTTCCTTTAATGTTTTATAAAGTATGAGTAACTTATCATTTTCGGTGCAAGAAACTAACTAGGAACAAGCTGAAAATTTGAGGTGTTTTATACTATACATGTATAACCAACAACAGGTATTTTGCCATCTTCCTAAGATGAAAAAAACTTATTACAGCGGAATTTGTACTTTAAAAGGAATACATGTACAGTAAGAGAAATTCAGTCTACGAGCATAACAACTGTAATTACTATGTGGAATTCAACAATTACAAAACCGATCATTTAATTTTGAATGTGCATAAAAATCTTATGATAAAAACAAATAGCTGTACAAGTGAGTTATTAGGGTACATGTACATTCTGTTGTTTTCGTCTTCTGTTCTTCGGTGCACCAACACAATATAGGTCATATGTTGGGAAACAGGGGAGATGATTTTGGCTAACCTTGGGTGTGGCAAACTTAAAGAAACACCAGGGTTAAAAACCACCTTATCTGCTGGAGCTAAGAGATGCATAGACTCCAGTAATTCGAACCCATTTAGTCGCCTCTTACGATCACACAGGGATAAACAGTGGCTGCAATTCTGATGCTTCAACCTTAAAGGCAAACCCTTAGCCACAATGAACCTATGTTCTGTTGAAAATATGAAATGTTATCTCTATGGCTTACCAATGACAGGGTAGCGTTTGAAGAACTCCGAGTACACTGTAAGGAACTTGGACTTTCTACTACATTTGATTATGGATTCATTCTGTATCCGTGACTGCAGTATATCTGAAATTATCAAGCAATAATATAGAGCATGCCAGATCTTGAAACAACTGTTGAAAGTAGCAATGAACATGCAGTAATCTGTTACAAAGGTAGCAAAATGTAAACAAAGTAGTATTTTGACTTTAATACATAATACTTATTCACTATAATTATATAAATAGCCAAAGAGCAAAAAAACAAACAAAAACTCGTTCATTTACCTGGCCAATGAGCAACCTTTTTGGAAACTACAACACATCAAATTTAAGAAATTTTCTAAAAATAAAAATGATAGCATTTCATAAGCATAATTGGCCAATAATAGGCTTTAGAAGCATACTTGGGTCTTTAAAGGCATACTCCAATATGAAAAAAATTTACAACCAAAACCAGTATCTATAGATATCACAACATATAAGGTTAAAATGTTCATACTTACTGTTTTCTTTCGTCCAATCAAATGCTTCTTTGTGTTTTGGTGTAGCTGTAAATAGTAACAAAGCTAAACAGTTCAGTATTACATTAAAATAGACCTAGAATTAAATTAGATTGAAATTGCGTAATATCACAATATATTTTATACAGTTATGTCAAGAAATGGTAGAGATAGAGGCTATTAAATGAGTGTAGAATCACTAAATTTATTGAACTTGAGGAGGCTTGCATAATATGATTTTATTAATCTTGTTAAATTTAATATTAAATTTACACTCATTCAATATCCTCTATTTAAAGCACACACGTAGAAAATTGATGGACAAAGGGAGATTACAAACAATTTGAACCTTTCTGGACTGACAAAAAAAAACCATCACAATTTGCCCTAAATGCATGAAACATGTCTATTAATTACTTTTTAAGAATAAAAACACATATTAAAATTAATTTAGTTAACTAAAATGGCATATATACTGGCAACAGAGATGGACTGCCCAAAGACTTTATACAAGGTAAAAATGGCCAAACCAGTGACCAAGGTTTCAGCCAAGTGTCGCGTCCCAACAGTTAATGCACACACCCTGAAGAGGTTTACCACCCTTGCAAATGCGAAGTGGATAAACTCCGCAATGTACCTTATTACTGGACAGTACTTATTACTAAACATGGTACTTGGACTATGGTATGTTTAAACAAGATTATCGAAAATAAAATTCCTGATAATGTCTCATAAACAATCATCTTAATATCCTGAAATTGATACGAGACTTCTGGAAATGGAAGCTGGAAAAGTACATTGAATAAATTCAGCAGGTTAAAGAATTTAGATAACATCCAACCAAAATAGAAATTTTAGAATTTTAGAACAGTAATGTTCTTAAAACAGGAAATGAGAGTACGGACTCCGAACAAGTCTCCAGTCATGACCTACTGTTATTCTCTACCAAAAGTTGACCTATTAATTTTGAATTCAGTGATTCACTGAATGGTACTAAATATATATGCAAGTTGATTTTTATGATGATACTATTTTGATGTCCTGGAGGCCAATAGGACTATTATGAGGAATCATGGAGAAAAATAACGTGTTGCTGCCAAAATAAATCATACATTTCGAAACAAGCTTGACTGACTGATGAGGCTATGCAACTAAGATGCACATACTTTTATCTCAATATAAAAAGAATATTACCCAAGTCCTGGTCAAGTACATTGATTGGTTTGACATTTGTGGGTGGAGCTTCGGTCTTCTTGATACCGAACTTGATGGCTTGAACCCGGCTGCCCCCTTGACTTTCCTCCTCCTCCTGTTGACTCTCGGACGCCTCTGCTTGAGGGTCATCTGTATTACCCCCTTCATCTCCCTGGGTTTGAGTCTCCATTTCTTCCTGTGTTTTGGCATCTTCTGATTTTGCTGCAATATTTTAACCATCAATATGGTAAAAACAGGACCAACTTAGTTTATTTTAGTTGCCTAAGTAACTGGAAAAGTAGAAGATCAATTCCCAAACATGGGTCCATATTTCAACCCAACGGAGAGTCAATTCATAAATGTGAGGCTATCTTTTAGCAAAATGGAAATTAATGTGTTTCATCTTTTAACATAAGGGTAAATATTTCTCAAATGTGGGACTATCTTTAATTCAAGAGACAATCAATTCCCAAAGGTTGGGCGACCTTTAAACACAAGGGGGATATATTTTAACCCAAAGGAAAATCAATTCCCTGAAGTGGGGTTTCTTTAAACCCACTGAAGGGAAATCAATTAATTCTATCAAAATTTATGTTAAGAGTTTTAGGCCTTGAATAGTGACTTAACCCTTAAAGTGCTGGAACCGAAAGCATTAAGCCTTTGCCACCAGTATAGAGCCAGGCCAGCCTGCACGTCCGTGCAGTCTGACCAGGCTCTATACTGTTGGCTTACAAACTTCAATTATTCAAATTGATATCCCTAAAATTGATAATGGACAGTCCCAAAAATGGAAGTGGGACAAGTCCATTTAAAATATTCAGCATGTTAAGGGTTAATATTATCTCTTACATGCTTTATCTCTCCACAAGCGTTCGTTCCTCGCTACTTTTGTCTTTATAGTCCCTGTGCCATCTTTCTCAGCAAATTCCTTTATCTTCTTCGTCAACAGGTGTTTTTGGTCTCGGGTACTTACTATCAAATCATAGACTTCCTCATGGTAAACTCTCTTTAAAAAAATAAATTTTAAAACAAGTGTTAACAACAATTTCTATATAATTATATTCTTTCTTAGGTTCAATCAACTGAGGTTTTTTAACATGACAGGACTCCCCCCGCCCCCCCCCCCCCCCCCCTATTTATGTACCATTTGATGTGGGTCTTCACTAATAACTTGTATGCAAAATTTCAGATCATCAGCTTGCTCTGTTATCATTTTTATGTGAACTAGAACTGCCACTGTCTTGGTGTGAATACCCCGGCATAACACTTTGTCAGTATCAACAGTGGTCATTAAGAGCACAAAGACAACCTCCCTGCTGCCAAATCTGAGGTTAGTAAGCCAGTGTCTTGCTAAGTTATGTATTCTACATGCTTCAAATGTGAAAATGTCAAAATCAATACACTGGGGACAGGCATTCTTAAGCATTTGAGTAGACAAGTTTATTGTAGTAAAAGCCCCTGTGACCTTGACCTTTGACACAGGCACCTAAAAATCAATAGGGGTCATTTACTAGTCATAAACAACCTCAATACCAAATATGAAGACTGTTGACCAAAGCATTCTTTAGCAATTGAAACGTAGAGCTTTTTTTAGTCAAGGCCCATGTGACCATGACCTTTGACCCAGTGACCTCAAAATCATGACGGTCATGATCAGCCTCCATGCCAAATATGAAGACTGTGGGTCAAAGGATTCTAAAGTAATTGGGTGGAAAAACTTATTTTAGTCAAGGGCCCTGTGACCTTGACCTTTGACCCAGTGACCTCAAAATTTATAGGGGTCATCCTATGGTCATGACTAACCTCCATGCCAAATATAAAGACTGTGGGTCAAAAGGATTCTTAATTTATTGGGTGGACACATTTTTTTTAGTCAAAGCCCTCCTGAACTTGACCTGTCACCTAGTGACTTCAAAATCAATAGGGGTCATCTACTAGTCATAACCAACTTCAATGCCAAATATGAAAACTATTGACCAAAGCATACTTAAGCAATTGAGCATTCACACTTTTTGAACTTAAGGCCCCTGTGACTTTGACCTTTGACCCAGTGACCTCAAAATCTATAGAGGTCATCTAATAATCATGACTTGCCTCCATGCTAAATATGAAGACTGTGGGTCAAAGGATTCTTACCTCAAAATCAAAAGAAGTTATCTACTTATCATGACTAACCTGCCAAATATGAAGACTGTGGGTCAAAGGAATCTTTAGTTATTGGGCAGACAAGGAAAAAGTGCCGGACAGCATATCGCCCGATGGCCGGACAAGCTGATTCCAGTATACCCCCCTTACAACTTTGTTGTGCGGAGATATAAGAATGTCAAAAAAATGAAAAGTATTTAAATGATTAAAACTAACAAGAGGGCCATGATGGCCCTGAGGTCGCTCACCTGTATATTAGCCCCCCCCCCCCCCAACGTTGCAGGGCCAATTTAACCCAAGGGCTTTTATTTGCACAAACTTGGTAGACACCCATAAGAAGATGTTTCATGCTGAACATCTAAGCTCTAGCTCATTGGGCTTTTTAAAAGAAGATTTTTTTAAAGTTTTTACTATACACATATAGTTAAAAACAATGACACCCCTGGGGCCGGGCCAGTTTTGACCCCAGGGCTTTTATTTGAACAAACTTTGTAGACACTTACTAGAAGATGTTTCTTGCTTAATATCTAAACTCTAGCTATTTTGGGTTTTTTCAAAGAAGATTTTAAGTTATTGCTATACACATATAAAGAAAATCAATGACCCCCGGGGCGAGGCCAATTTTGTCCCCAGGTCTTTTATTTGAACAAACTTTGTAGACACTCACTAAAAGATGTTTCATGCTTAATATCTTAACTCTAGCTATTTGGGTTTTTTCAAAGAAGATTTTTTAAGTTTTTGCTATACACATATAAGGAAAATCAATGACCCCCGGGGCGGTGCCAATTGTGACCCCAGGGCTTTTATTTGAACAAACTTGGTAGACATCTATTAGAACATGTTTGATGCTAAATATCTTAGCCATAGCTCTTTGAGTTCTTTAAAAGAAGATTTTTTAAGTTTTTACAATATGCATATAGGGAAAATCAATGACCCCCCGGGGCGGGGCCAATTTTGACCCCAGGGCTTTTATTTGAACAAGCTTGGAAGACACTTATTAGAACATGTTTTATGCTAAATATCTTAGCTCTAACTCTTTTGGTTATTTAAAAGAAGATTTTTTAAGTTTTTACTTTATGCATATAGGGAAAATCAATGACCCCCTGGGGCGGGGTCAATTTTGACCCCAGGGCTTTTATTTGAACAAACTTGGTAGACACCTATTAGAACATGTTTGATGCTCAATATCTTAGCCATAGCTCTTTGAGTTCTTTAAAAGAAGATTTTTTAAGTTTTTACTATATGCATATAGGGAAAATAAATGACCCCCGGGGCGGGGCCAATTTTGACCCCAGGGCTTTTATTTGAACAAACTTGGTAGACCCCCATTAGAACATGTTTCATGCTAAATATCTTAGCTCTAGCTCTTTGGGTCCTTTAAAAGAAGATTTTTTAAGTTTTTACTATATGCATATTGGGAAAATCAATGACCCCCTGGGGCGGGGCCAATTTTGACTCCAGGGCTTTTATTTGAACAAACTTGGTAGACACTCACTAGAAGATGTTTCATGCCAAATATCTAAGCTCTAGCTCTTATGGTTTTTTAAAAGAAGATATTTAAAGTTTTTTCTTTCGGTTGCCATGGCAACCAGAGTTCTGCATGGAATTAAATTCTTTGAACAATTTTTAAAGGTGACCACCAAAGGAACATTCCTGTGAAGTTTGGATGAAATTGGCTTAGTGGTTTATGAGGAGATGTCATTTAAAGTAAAAGTTTACGGACGGACGACGGACGGACGACGGACGGACGGACGGACGGACGCCGGACGAAAAGCGATCACAAAAGCTCACCCTGTCACTTTGTGACAGGTGAGCTAAAAATTGGGCTAAAAAATCCATAAAAGCATATATTACTTTATTATCTTTTGCATATCTTTCCTTTTTATGTACAACTGTTATTCTATGTAAGAAATTCAAATTTTATGTTTTTTTAGGCTTTTGGACATCCGTGTATTTCCTTTTATACAGATAGTTTTATAAGCTCAAATTAATGTAGCACCATCAACGTATCTAGCTTTAACAAATAATAAAAAAGTATTTCCTACTCACCAGGTAATTAGTCCTGTGTTTTTTCCCCAGTATGTGTGGGAGAATAGTTGAATTATGGCACATTACCGAGCACAAACTGCACGTGTATTTTGGCTCTTTTTCCATTCTAGGATGAAGTATTTCCCGAACATAGTCCAATCCTACAATTATATTAGTGTTTTAATTTATCTTTGTGTTTTTGCGGTTTTTTTTAATTATTATTATAATTAAAGTTACATTATGCTCCAGGGCTTTTTTTCACAGGTTGGGGAAGCAGCCCTGCCCTTCATTTTGGGGAAAAATTATATGGACTATTTGCATAAGGGGAAGAAAAAAAACTTGATGTTAATTCAATTTTTGGGGAAAACTGCATGATTTTAAAGAATTTTTATTTGTGGAAGCAGTTCTATGACGGCCCCTGCTATAGAAGGGAAAAAAAGCCCTTTTCTCATTTTTTTTATTGTCAAGTTGATCTGAATTGACTATATATCTCAAAAGACTATTATAAATGTGATTGACAAACAGTTGATAGTGGAAAAGGGTTAGGATAAAATTTAATTCTGCCTAAAATATAAAAATTCTGCCACACTTTTTTTTTATAAATTGAATGTTACAGGTAAATTTTGAAAATATTTACAGCAATTTCCTTGGGCCATGCAAATTATTTATTATTTGCTCATGCTAAGTAAATTGTAAAATTGAAAAGAATTATTGCAAAATGCAAACATATTTTGATTTCAACATGTTCACTCACTATATACCCTTGGATGGACATAATGTAACTTTATGATGAAAACTTTGTATTAAATGAACACAACTTGTGATAAGTACCAACCAAAGCATGCTTTATAAAAGAATGGGTAAAGAAATTTGAAACCTTTATAGTCATATATTACAAGTGTTTTTGGAGTCTAAAAATCCTAAACTCATTATAAGTCCTGAAAGCTTTTACCTGTGTGAATGAAGCAAAAGAAATATGAGATTAACGAATAATTTCCCATCCATAAAATGCTTTGCAAGTGTCATGTGAATACTTGACTGAATCTACTATTTTATCACCATATCTTGCTATCAGGGACCACATATTTTTCTTTACATTGTAGTTGATTTAGACAAGCTAAAATCACTTTATTTGTTGACATGAAACATTCTTTGGTACTATTTCCTTAGTTTTCGTTAAAAATTTACATGAATCTGAGCCCTTGAATGAACCCAGCCACATCGCCAGAGATGGTCTCAACTATAAAAATTGGAGTTTTCCCCTTTTCTGGTTAACATAGCAAGATAGGATAAATACAAGGCCAAATTATGTGTCCACACACACGCAGTGATTTAACAAATGTTAATGTAAATTCACTTAATTTTGTGTGTGCATGAAATTTCATGATGTTGTCAAAAAGGAAAATTTTATGAGTTCTTAAATTAATTGTCTTTAAAAAAAAAAGTAAAATGCAAATAATGTTTTAGTTTGGTTTTATGGCAAACCAAAATAATCAAGGTCATATGGCGCAAAAACAGGCTAGATAATTTTGGCTTTTGATTTTACAAACTGTAACCAAAACCAGGTAGTCAAAACCACCTCACCTGCTGAAGCTAAGAGATGCACAGACTCCATTTATTCAAACCCATTTAGTCACCTTTAACGATCACAAAGGGATAAACAGTGGCTGCAATTCTGATGCCTCAACCCTCAAAGGCAACCCCTCAGCCTCAAAGGGGTGGCAAATAATGTAATATGTAATATTTAAACTATTATACAACAGATTTAATAAAAATTTCGTCGGATCTTAAATTTGGCAGATTAATCTTTAATACTATTCCATGAAAAACCACAAACATTAGTGCCCCACAAAAAAAAAATGATTTTACAGTAACTAAACTATCCGTCCCTCAAATTATAATGATTTTACAGTAAATCACCTATCAATGTTGTATCAGTAATACTCTGTGTCTCGATGGCTTCATTATAGAGATCATCAAACTGAGACTGAAAACTGACATCGTACGCTTCAGGTGCTTCACCAGTCTCCTTTGTCCTCACAGGTGCTGGTGCTAAAAATAGAAATACACAGATGTGCTAAAAATAGAAACATTCAGATGTGCTAAAAATAGAATTAGCAGATGTGCTAAAAATGGAAACATACAGAAGTGGTAAAAAAGGAAGTCTGAGTTGATTTTTAACATAAATATATTAATTGTAGTATGATATATAGCCAAAAATAGCCAGCCCGCATAGCTCAATCAGTTAGAGTGCTAGACTTGTTGTCTTAACATTACTTAAATTACTAATCAATCTTTTGGATGAGAATTTAAATTGAGGTCTCGTGTACGAGTGCCTAAACACTTGGCATACTAAAGAACCAGGGGAAGCTTCTGGAATCGGGGCATCTTTCTGTATCTGTATCTTGCACTATCCTCCAAAATACTCATCTGGAGGCCTCGCTCACCCATATGGGCAACCAGAGGCAAGTATAAATAAACTCAAATATATACACGCACACAAAGCCAATGTAATTTTCCACAACCATTATGTATTTAGTACTTTATTACCTTTCACTAAATCAATATGCCACATTTACCTTTTACAAGTATAGGATCACAGTAAACGATCTTGCCGTTATTATCTTCCGGATTCAACATGAGCATGACGCGCACTGAACCTCTACCGATCCTATCCTCCTCCAATCGGGCCTCGTAGTTTGCTCTCTCCACCTGCTGTTTCTTTAACGCTATCACATTAATCACGTCAAACACTTCTGGGTTGTTCTTTTTCTGCAAAATTGGAGAAAATATGTTCTATTTTCTGCAAAATGGGAGAGAAAATATTCTTTTCTCAAAATGGTAGAGAAAATGTTCTTTTTCTGCAAAATGGGAAAGGATATGTTTTTATTTCTGCAAAATGGGAGAGAAATATGTTCTTAGTTCTGCAAAATGGGAGAGAATATTAACATTCTATTTTTAAATTCATCCGGCAAATGTTTACATAATCAACTCATAGGACAAATGTTTTAAAGTCGGCATTTTCTAATGAAAGCACCTTGTTCTCATTGATTCATGACTTCCCATTAATGCGTGACCTAAATAACAGTCTGGTATAAACACTACACGGACATACATCATGCTAAAACTACACCTGTATTAGCCGACACCCAATTCAACAATTTTATATAATCTACATGCGTAACTGAACAGGAGTTACTAAGCTTACCCTAGATTAATATTGAATGTTGATGCAATAAAATTATCAAACACACTTGTAATCAAGCATAAAATATTCTTCTAATGATGTAAAAATTAACACAATACACTGTAGCCTCGATAACTCGCTCTTCACTATAACGCTAATCTCAGTAGAGCGCTCATAGACCTTGGCTCCCAAAAAAAAAAAAAAAAAAAAAAAAAAACTTCCCAAAAAAAATAATTTTTTTTTAAGTAGACTTAGATTTATAGCGCGCTATAACGCTTGCTCAATTTGATAGCCAAGTACAATAAACAATTGTTATTAGGACATTTATGATCGCCAAAGGTGTGAAAAACATGCCCAGGTAAGCGTTTATCCGCTCTTTTGTTGTTTTACCTGTCTTCAAATTGTTTCCAAAATCTCAAATTCATATCATAACTGTTACATTGGCATTCGGTGGCGAGTATAAATAAAATAAAATTCACACACATATCTTTGACATGTAAACCTCGCTGTATTAAATAACCCACAAGCCCAAAATCAATTTCAAATCCTGCACTGTAAATAGAGCGGCCATGACAGGAAGTAATTGGCGTTTGATTTACTAGGGGACACAACTAAAGCTGGACTGTAAATTACAGTGTTATTTACAGTCCAGCTTTAGTTGTGTCCCCTAGTTAATCAAACGTCATTACAGTAATGGCTACCTGTTTTACACTACATTCATTATTTATAATTTTCTTTCGAAAGTTTTTCCTTTCTTTTAAATATAATTAGTATTATTTGTGAATATAATATATGTTTACATCATTGAATGGTTTAAGAAAAAGATAATGTCGATATTCATTGAACAGTAAGTAAAAAAAATCAGCGTTATATATATATGCAGTGGGTGGGGTAATGCGGTAATTTCGCAATGAGCGTTCTAATGAGAGCCTCGTTAGAACGCGGTGTTGAGACATTGGACCCCAACATGAGCGTTTTAATAAGGCTGAAGTGTATTATGAAACATATTGATCAGATCAGAATCATGAATCACCCAGAGAAAGGCATATACAGAAGTTACCCATATGATAAAATGTTGGTCAAGTTTGTTTGTTCGTTTTGGGTTTTACGTCATATCGACACAGTACAGGTCATATTGCGACGTTCCAGCTTTACTGGTTGAGGAAGACCTCTGGTGCCCATTCGTGCATTATTTCAGGCACGAAAGGGCACCTGAGTAGAACCACCGACGTTCTGTAAGCTAGCTGGATAGCTTCCTCACATGAAAGAATCCAAAGTCCGTCGGGATTCGAACCCACAGCGGTGTGAAGTGGTTTGAAGTCAACAACCTTAACCACTCGGCCACAGACACCCCTTGTTGGTCAAGTAACAAGCAAATGAACATGGTATTATGTATTATATTATGGGTACTTACAAAATAGTTGAGTTTGTGTGGGAATCCAATTATATGTTTTACAATAATCTTGTGTGATCCTTTATTGTTACACAGCTTACACACATATCTCGGGGGTATTTTCGGTAAATAACTTCGGATTTCATAAATGTTATCAAGACCTGAAAAAAAAATTAAAAAATTTCTTTATCCCATATCCTGCCAATTTTCTAAAATCGGAGAGTTCAGCGTCCATTTTCAAAATGGTCTATCATGGGGATATCAAGATTTGGTCAGCCACATTCAGAAACTTGAGAGTAGTGATGTAAATTAATATGTGGCGTTACTAAAATCTTACACCACAAACAAATCATCCATCATTACAATATAACCCGCAGGTTTCCTTTTTTTAACTAAAATTATGGACGGATGAAGCTCATTAACTATTGGATATTTGCCGGACAGACGATCGTGACACTATACCATGATATGTCCGGAAGTTACTCCCGGTGTATAAAACATTGTTTTTGCACTGCAGAAAATAGTGTATAAATTCTAAACTATACCTAGCATAGGCTCATTGACGTAGTTCGGTAACTCTCTATATAGCAAGCATTCCACTTCCTCCTGAACTGGTTCCGCAGGCACTTCTGGCTCGGTGCCAACATCCATTTCTTCGGTCTTTTTCTCTACAGTAACATCTGAATAATCCAAATATGATTTTATTTAGGTTTATTCACTCATTATATGAAACTGATGAAATAGACTTTGAGGCAAGGTAAAAGTGAACTAATATTTGAAGTGATTACATTTGATTCTGAGAAAATTACCTTTAACAAAAAGAGTTGCTCAACACCGGAAATTTGAACTTCAAACAGAGAAAAAATAAATGTAAGGGTTACCTGCCTTTAAGAAATGGCGTCACACTATGACAGTAAATAATTCAGTTTTTCAAGAGATGTCTTTTAGTTTCTAAGCAATAAACTAAATAAATTTCCGTAAAATTTGACGAACGTTGAGACCGACAAAAAATTCACTACTTTACCTCCACCTTTTTACTTTAAAAGGTGAGGCTACTACAGACAATGATTATCAGTATTGTTGTATGTTTTGCAAATCAGACAGGAATTTTTTTCTACTGTTTACATCAGTGACAGAAACATCTTATACCGCCATCATTCTTGGGCACATATTATGAGTGAATCGCATGCTGAGGCTAACATTTCGCTGTTATGTAAATTCATATGCGAGTATCAGAAAAAAGTGCTAAATCACAATATTGTAATTGTTTTCGTACTTTTTTTCCTAATAAATATGTTTTATATGTAATATGCAACAACACAGTATAGGTCATACGGCAACTTGCTTACTTTACTGGTGGAGGAAGGACCTCATGTGCCCTTCCGTGCATTATTTCAGACACGAACAGGCATCTGAGTAGATCAACTAGACACTGGCATCAGGTGTAAGATTCTTATAGTTTAGTAGTGTGAAAATTGCTGTAAACAATTAACTTACTTTCGTCCGTCTGTTTTACTTCCTTGACATCAGACGTTGAAGCTTTATTTTGTTGACTGTCAGTACTGCTGCTAATACTTGATGTTTTCTTCATGGACTTGCTGTCTTTAACTTTACCATGTCGGCTGTCTCTACTATCTCTGTGTATTAAACAAACAGTTTATACAAATCTAAAAATAAATCTATTTATAGAACAAATGAAAAAACTTGCGTTATCTCGCATACATCTTTTTTCAGTGACTCCCTTTCTATCAATACTTTTTGTTGTTCTAAGATTAAAAGTTATGCAAACTATATCTAATGACCTATCTATCTTACAAATCTATTTATAGAACAAATGAACAAACTTACCCATCTCGCGTAGATCTTTTCTCTGTGACTCTCTTTCTATCATTACTTCTTTTCCTGTTTGTAGCGGAGCTTCTGTCCGATTCCCTACCAGGTTTTCTATCTCCACTACCTTTCCTATTTCCTGCAGAACTCCTACCAACATCTCGGCTAGTTTTTCTATCTCTTTCTTTGCTGGACCGACGGACCCGATCCCGACTTAATCGTCTTCCACTGTCTCTGCCTGTATCTCTTCTCGCTATTCTATGATCCCTTTCTGATGAATCTATAGAATGATGTCATAAAATGGTGTCATAAAAATGATGTCATAAAAATGATGTCACAAAATGATGTTGTAAAAATGATGTCATAAAATGATGTCACAAAATGATGTCACAAAATGATGTCACAAAATGATGTCATAAAATGATGTCACATAATGATGTCATAAAATGTCATGGAAAACCTATTTCATCTTATTATAATTAATATATATCATGACATAGTCACAAAAATGAGTGAACAATGTACTGTGAATTTATCTTACTTCATACATATGAAATTTTGTGGTTTTGTCACAAAGAACATTTTCGTGGGTTCTTTAATTTCGTGGACTGTTTTTTAAAATAATGTGGTGCAAAATAATCTTAAAGCAGATGAAATGAAATTTTGTTGATCTTAAATTCATGGACTGACCTTTCCACGAAAACCACAAATATTAGTTCCCCACAATTAATAAAATAATTTTGCAATAATGGAAGAACCCTTCTGCAATAATGGAAGAACTATTATATTTTTTATTGGATTATTTCAGCAGCAAGCATCAAATTGTATTTAATTTGTCATTATCACTCAATTTATGAATACCCTCTTAACAATTAAGGGTAACACATTCAAAATTGAGAAAAATTAGCTAATAAAACCCCTCTTTATAACAATATTCTGCAACATTACCAACTGCACATAGATAAAACCCATGAAAATGTTAGCCAAATAAACGTTTTCCTTAAAGAAAGTGGTAGCCTGAGTAGTTACGGGATCTACCTCTAAACCCAGCGATCATTTGTTCAATTCCATACTTAAGTCTCAAGTGATTTACATGATTTATTTATGACAAAGTACTAAACAAGTTGCAGGTCTTTTTTTTTGGCTGGATTTTACGTCGCACCAACACAGTACAGATTATATGGCAATTTTCCAGCTCTACTGGTGAAGGAAGACCTCAGGTGCTCCTCTGTGCATTATTTCAGGAACAAACGGGCACCCAAGTAGAACCACCGACATTCAGTAAGCTAGCTGGATAGTTTCCTCACATAAAAGAATCCAAACTTTGAAAGTCACTATCCGATGGATTTCAAACCCACAGCAGTGAGGGGCAAGAGGTTTTAAGTCAACGACCATAACCACTCGGCCTCGAACACCAACACCTGATCTGGTTTCATAATCAAACTAACAGCAAAGCAATGAAAGCATGTATGTTTAAACTATATGTTAATTTGTATGTTATATATTTTACCTCGTCTTATCTTCGTTGTGACAAGAACAGACTCTAGATATTCACTCCGTTCATCTTTATTGGTCGTGTAAACTCGGAACAGGTAGTCTGTCTTCTCTTGTAAACTTTCGAAAGAAAAACAATATATTATAGATCTTCAGTTTTCATTAATACCTCCAGATCTGTTTGCTACAAAAGTTACTTTTATTTTATGCCTCTCTTTATAGACATATACCTTACTTAGACACATCCATTACATGGTGTTGCCGAGCTCTGTTTTATATTTCAGATAGATATATAGAAAGTACTAACTCTTAAAGGAGTCCCACTGAAGTCAAAAAGCATAAAAACATAAAATTTGTAATTCTTACATATACATCTCTTACATAAGTGAAGCGCTTAAAATAGAAAAAAAATCTGAAAAAGTTAATAAAGAAATAAACACAGAATTAAATTGAATATTTTTTGTGTCATTCTTAGTCCGATTTGAGTGAAAAGCTTTGAATTAATTTCTTTAAATGTCATTTTGCGCAATAAAGATGATGGTTCAAGTAAAGCTGAGTGAAGGAATGATCTGAAAATTTGCACACACGTTATTGGTCCAGACCTTTATCAAATGGTACACAAATCATGAAAAATTATTTCCAGTCCAGTCATGTAAAACACCTCAGTGGAGTCCCTTTAACAGACTTAATTATTTTTATGGATCTACAAAACAGTTTATCAAAAATTAAAGGAATTCCAATGACTAAATACAAAAATTAGACTACCAAACGTATAGAATAACTCAGAATACTTTATCATGGAAGCTTTTATAAATAAATCTGAGGTGATCCCTTTTATGTAAATCTCTATAAATCTCATTAAAAAATTATAGCAAATATTTGGAAATTGTAGATAATAGCACTAATGCTAAATGTATTTATATCACCTACCCATTCACTTCAAATTCATGTTTTGTGGTTGTGCCGACTCTAACCCAGCGTATTTCTCGTGCATTTCTATATTCTACGACATATTTATCTATCAACGCCTCCTCATCCTCGTGCCGTGTCCTCCAGTGAAGTATCAGCCACGTGCACTGCACCGACCTTGTCTCTAACGGACCTAGTGGCTTTGGTGGTATTACTAAAAATAGAAAGTTAACAATTATACTTATACCATAAAACAATATATATAACATAATACCTTATTCCATAATATAAGAATTACATTATACAGTAGAAAGCAATATCAATCAAAATTCATGCCAAAGTTATGGACCTTGAAGAGTGACCTTCAATTATGATCCAAAAGACATGCGTTAAGTTTTAAGTGACTACCTTTAGTAGTGTTTAATTATGACCTGACCAGTGTCAACAAAGGGTGAAATAAACAAACAATACACACCTTGGACATCAGAGTCGGACTTTGACCTATATCTGGACACTGCGTCTTGTCGCGCGTCCATTTCGATGTCTGAATTTCCAGCTAGCAGGTTTCTCGCCCCCGGCATGCCGACCGACGGCTTGGGTAACGTGTTGGAAGCTATACCTGAACATGAAACATATAAAATCACATTCTTTGAAATTATTCTGAATCTTTAAGTGCTAGCATTCTTAAACGGACTCCACTGAGGGTTTTTTGACGGGACTGGAATTTTTTTTCGTGATAAATACACATATGATGTAGGTCTAGACCAATAACTTTTGTGCAAAATTTCACATCATTTGCTCACTCTGTTTTTTTTCAGAATAATTATTTATGATAATTAAGAAATACACCAGGAAATAAATTGAAAACCATATCTTAGTGCTATTCTTAGCTTGATTTGAGTGAAAAGTGTCATTTTTCAACAATAATTATTCTGGAAAAACAGAAATTTTGCACACAAGTTATTGGTCAAGACCTACATCAAAAGGAACATTAATCTTCAATAATCTACACTCAGTTTATTTATCCATTTTTTTTTAAAGTTAATAGGGGCCACACATAGAATAAAGTAAATATAAAGTAATTTATATATCATAATTTGTTGATGACAGGGATGCACAGGGGATATTGACAAAGGAAAAGTTTATTATATCAAATAAAAGGTTGCTATGGTAACCATACCTGTAATCATTGTGGTTGGAGGCAGAACCGAGGCTTTCAACGGTTTACCAGAACTGTCAACATCAAACCTGCTTGGTCGAGATTCCATCTGAAACACTGAGAGAAAAAACAAGAATTCAATTAAGCCGCGTCACGACAAAACCAACATAATGGGTTTGTGACCAGCATGGATCCAGACCAGCCTGCGCATCCGTGCAGTCTGATCAGGAGCCATGCTGTTCGCTATCAGTTTCTCTAATTGTTATAGGGTTGGTAAGCGAACAGCATGGATCCTGATCAGACTGCGCAGGCTGGTCTGGATCCATGCTGGTTGCAAACCCATTATGTTGGTTTTGTCTTGACGCGGCTCAATTTTTTTTATTTCTGCTATGTTAAGGTCATCTGACACTTATTAGATCAAAAATAAGTAAGCTTTTTCATGCTGTAACATGCGGAATATCCTAAACAAGCCATTTTTCAGTTGTTGTTTTTTTTTTGTTGAGTAACAACCTGGGTAAACTTGATTGAGCTAGTTTGATTAACCTCAGTTCACACCAGATTTTATGTTGCACCAACCAATTTAGATCATATGGCACCGAAACAGGAAAGATGATTTTGGCTAATATCTGGGGGGTGACAAACTGTAAACAATACAAGGTGTCAACATAAATAAACAGGTTGAAGACTTAATATGAATTATCTTTGTTGAGCAAGTAATTGTTCAAATATCAGAAATTCAGAATGTAACAAAATTAAATCAATACTAGTATGCACAATAACAAGACACACAAATAGTAAACAACTTACACTCCTGAGCCTTCCTTTGGAGAGTCTGAAATAAAAACACAACATATATAGTGGTAACAAAATTAAAATATTTTCATATTTCACTTGTGGCTGTGCCACTTGTGAAAAATACCTTTTGGTGCTCACTCGGTGAAATATATTTCAATCTTACACTGAACTAAACAAATATCCTGTATTTATTTCTTTTTGGTTGGGTTTAATGTCACACAAACACAGTATAGGTCACATGGTGGGCGACTTTCCAGGTTTACTGGTGGAGGAAGACCTCAGGTGCCCCTCTGTACATTATTTCAGGCAAGAAGAGGCACCTTATCATAACCATGGACATTACCTTAAGCTACCAGTCCTAGATAACTTTCTCTTGTGAAGAATCCAAATTTTTTTTTCTTCATATCAAACATAGCCAGGTTAAAAACAGTTAAGAAAGTTAAATGTTACTGAGTCAGTGAGAAGAATGTACCACCAGACTGAACTTCAAACACAAAACCTCCAAAATACCATTCAACAGAATTATCATCTGAGCTACTTAGCATATTTCAAATTTTCTCAGTGATCAGTTCTATAATAATACCATAACTTAAAATACATTTGAGCCATGCCATGATAAAACCAACATAATGGGTTTGCAACCAGCATGGACAGTCTGATCAGGATCCATGCTGTTCGCTATTATTTTCTCTACTTGTGATAGGGTTTGTAAACGAACAGCATGGATCCTGATCAGACTGCGCGGATGCGCTGGCTGGTCTGGATCCATGCTGGTCGCAAACCCATTATGTTGGTTTTGTCATGGCGCGGCTCATTCTAACTTTGCTTCGATCATACTTACCAGTATATGGGCATCACTAGTAAGATGAGCTTTGTATATCTCCTCACTCAAGCATGTTACATTACAATCCTGGAAAAAAAACAAACACAAATATATCAAGTTATTTTTCAAATTACTGACGCCTCTTCCTTATCGAAATTTTCATTAAAATACATGCAGTTTTCCCAAAAAATCATGTAATGGCGTGGGTTGAAACCCTGTCAGGGGCAAGCCATTGTTTCCTTGAGCAAGAAACTTCACATTCATAGCTTAGCACTGGTTGGTTCCAGGAACAGATTCGAGACTGTTTCAATTAGCATATAGCTTCCAACACAATCAAACATAAAAAAAAAATTGTATAAACTAACCTAGTAATTTTAGTGATGATTTTTCCAAGATTAGGCTAATATCTCTTTCCCAACTAAGTGAGAAAAACCACTTATCACTCCACAATTATAACTTCTTAACAGTTTTTCTTTTTAATACGCTTACTATGGAAATTTATTTAATGTAGGTAAATATAAAGATGTAACACTGAATCTAATAAATGAGGATAAGCAAGTGTTGCAAAAGTCACAAAGCACATGAATTTAAGTAAATTAAGTAAATTCTACTGCAGTTACAGATTTTATCAATGTGACATCACAGATACCTCTGTCTTGAAATGTATTTTTATAACTGAACTAACACATAGCCACTAATGTACTTATAAATAAGTTTTCATATGTTATGTACTTAATAAGTTTTCAGATACCAGTTAGATTTGTACAGGTCTTACAGTGAAAACACATTTGTAATTTCTGTTTTAGTTTTGTTTTAAGTCCTACGAACACTATAAAGGTTACATGGCGACTCTCTAGTATTATTAGTACAGGAAAATCTTCAGTTTTTCTAAGAGGCACAATCTGGAACCGGAGCTGAATCAGCAAGCTCAAAAGCTTTCACAAGAAAAATTCTCGGTTCATTAAATGAGCCGCGCCATGATAAAACATAGTGCGCTTGCGAAAAGCATGGATCCAGACCAGCCTGCGCAAACGTGCAGTCTGATCAGGATCGCGCATCCGCGTAGTCTGATCAGGATCCATGCTGTTCGCTATCAGTTTCTCTACTTGTAATAGGAATTGTAAGCGAACAGCATGGATCTTGATCAGACTGCACAGATGCGCAGGCTGGTCTGGATCCATGCTGGTCGCAAACACATTATGTTGGTTTTGTCATGGCGAGGCTCAAATATTTTTAGAAGAATTATGGTACTTACATTACATATGATCCCTGGGGGAGGGATTACTGCTACAGCAGGTGCAGGAATACCACTTGGAGCTTGATTGACTAGAACACTTGGAGGCAGTCCTTGCACAAGTACTCCACTTACAGGTAGTGTTTCCATTGGCTCACTGTTTGCAGGTGGTACATTTGCCACAACACCTATTATCATAGATGAATATATGTAATATAAATATCATAAACCAATATTGTAAAGTTATCTTCAGTTTATTTCAAAAGTTATTCAAATAAAATTAAAAGTCTATATATATGATTGCAATCTGCAAGAGACAGAATATATTTTTGTAAGAAAGAAAAATTAAATCAGAAAATTATGTAAAAAATAAATAAATAAATATTTTAAGATAATATTCTTCATTTGGCTTAATAAACTAAGTTCTTAACTTCCTTAAGTTCGTAACTTTACAAACCTCTTTACTTCCTTAAATTCTTAACTAAGTTCTTAATGTTAGTAATTTCTTAACTTAAGTAAGTTCTTAATTTAACTAAGTTTTACAATATCATCTTAAAACATGAGATCTATACCTTGTGCTTTCTGGTCATCTGTGATAGGTAAATTTCTTTCAGCTTTCCTTATTCCAGGTGCATCATTTATATCATCATATCTATCTCTCCTCTGTACATCCCGATTTCCTTGCTTCGATCTTTCCCTGCTCTGTATATCACGATTTCCACGCACAGCTTCTTTTCCTTTATTATCAGATCCCCTACTTCTGTATGAATCATAACGTTTATCCCTTGACCTACTTTCATAGTTCTTTTTTTCACTGCATCTTGACTTATCATCTCTTTTTCTACTGTTCTCACTATCAACTTCTCTACTTTGATATCCCGTACCGTCTCCACTGTGTCTGTAATCAGCGATATCTTCAACGTCATCCTCGGCTCCAAACAAGAAGTCCTCGTACAGCATCCCGCCATCTTGTGACTTGTTGTCACCATGTTCTACCATCTCTGGAAACTCCTCCATATTTGCCATATCATCACCATAGTGATCATATTCTTCGCTCCTAGAGTCAAATCTCTCATCTCTTTCACGGTGATAGTAATCGTCATAGAACTTCTCTCTTTCCCCTTCCTTGTAATTTGGCTGCTCCCTGTCTCCATAGTAACCAGTTCTATCACTTTCTCTCTCTCTGTATCCAACATCTCTTCTTCTGTCGGTTTCTCTTTCTCTAGCGTCTCTGCTAAATTTTTCAAATCTGTCGTCAGTTCTTCTTTCATTCTCATCTCCATGCCTGCTTGTTTGATACGTGTCAATGTCTCTATCACTAGATCGAGTAGTATGACCGTAATCGAAAACCTTCAGAGACTGTGAATACCCATCGTGTGCTTCTACGCTTCCACTTCCGTATCTCTCTAGTGATTCCTGCCGTCTCCCACTATAATCCCTCTCATCTGGTCTCGCCGTCCTGTTCTTACTGTCCTTATTATAAGCATCGTACTCATCAACATACGGAACATTTTCATTTTGAGACTTCTTGTTGTCCCACTTATCGTCATACGATCTTGACATTCTACTGGAATCGGGAGGTTTATCATCATTAGGATCACAACCACTGTAGTGCCATCTCTCGGGGTCATACTCATTTCTTGGGGCATTTCCTCTCTCTGCTCCAAAACCTTTTTCTTCGTCTGCCCTAAACGGTTCTCTTTGAAAATATTTCTCACCGGCAGTCTGTTGGTAGGTCACACCATGATACCTCTCATAGTCATTACCATCATCGGCTTGGTAGTTATTGAATCCACGAAAATTATCATCATTTACAGGTCTATGTGATCTGTCAACACCTGTTTGATAATCATCATGTGGTCTTGAATCACTTGAGCTTTTGTAGCTCATTTGTGCACTTAAATTTTGACTTTGCAGTTGAGATTGGTTTGGAGCAAAATCACCCCCTTTATCAGCTCTGTGTAACTTCCCGCTTATTTCACTTCTCTGTGTCTCACTGCCGTAGTAGTACCTATCAAAGTCACTTTTAAATGGTTCACTCTTTTTATTCATATCGTCATAACCTTGATCTCTAACAGAACTACTTGCCGGACCTCTGTAACGATCAATTTCATCAAGAGCTTCCTTTCGTGTAAAACTACCAGCCTGTTTTGATCTATCATGCTCCATAAAAATGTCCATCTTTTTATCTACCTCATACATATTACTACCCATCTGCTGATTCGATATACTAAACTGTTGACCTTGACCCTGATTTGAAACTATGCCATGACCTTGACCCACATTTGAGGGGACGGTAAACTTTGGAGTGGGAACTGCAGCAGGTACTTTAAATCCTGGGTTTGAAATTCCCTGTCTATTATCTTGGTTTGCAGGAAGATTCCATATTCCTTTTTGTATGTTTTCAATGGTATTTTTGGCATTTTGAAAGATTCTTTGCTTGGCCACTTGTGGAGATATATTTGAAAGTTTCTTAGCAATAGCTCTAGCTTGTTCAACATTAGACGGAATGCCTTTTCCAGCATCTGGTTCTACTGTTTGACTTCCGGGATTTTTTAAGATTCCTTTATTCACCTTGGAAATTACACCAAATACTGAGTTGCTGCTAGGAGCTGGCTGCGGTGGTAATGGGGTAGGTTCATACCCTGGATCAAACCCAAAACCTGGGATCTGTTGGCTGTTTTTTTCCATGATTTTATGTAGTGACAGGTTATACTTCTACCTGTAGGAAAGAAATATAAAATGTAAGGACAGTCAACCTTTATCACAGAGCGCTAAATCTGATTGGCTAATTGACAGTCAAGTTTGAAACAAAATCATTTTTGAACTTTACTAAACCAGTATGGCAGATAAGCAATAATGGACAGATGTTTGTATTTTATTTTAAATCAGAGCAACAGATAAGCTTTAAAAGTGAATTGGGTATTACTCCATCATTTCCTTTGGAATTGGGTATTGGCTCTATTTAATTGGGTATTCAAAATCTCGATACCCTATGATTTCAAGATCAATTGGGTATTCATATATGAAGATATGAATTTTATGGTTTAAATTAAATTTAGATAGGCCTATCTTAACTGTTTTAAAAAGAAAATAGGATTAACAATTTACTAGAACTTTTCACAATTGTTTTATTTTTTATATAAAATGCTCATGTTATATTCCATAATATTTTTAACAAGTTCGTTTTCTGACTGATTTTTGATTATTTGTGACAGTTTTGTTTCAAATCACTTTCCCTTTTGTACGACGCCATATTGCTTTTCAAAGCATCTATTGTTACAGCTGGGACCTACTTATTGATGGTCTCCGCAAAATCAACGGTCTCTGCTGGTCTGTAAAGACCGTCAACCTGAGTAGACAAATCGACGGTCTCATGCTTAGTCGGTCTTTGGAGACCGGGGACCGTCGAAGACCGGAGACCGTTGATTAGTTGGCATTGATTCGGAAATATTCCGATATCATGCATATTGATATGATTTGTCCAAAACAGATTAATTTTGCGGTGATGAAAATGACAATATGCACGGGTTTTTAAGACAATTGCGTATTTTATTTTTTTAATGGGTTTTGATACGCATTCTTAAAAAATCAATTGCGTATTTTATAAAATTAATTGCGTAAATACGCAAATACGCACCTTATCTGTTGCTCTGTTAAATTAATAATTATTTTAAATTAATAATTACACAGTTTGAGATTGTTTTTTAAATAATGATTGAGCATGAAATTAAATGATTTTTTTAAAAACTTAACAGCTAGACAACAAAAGGTCGAATGATAAGTTGTTAAGAATATAGCATGTCAATAATCTAAAAATAACAAATAATAAAAAAACAGCTCACAAAAGTCACAGTTTACTCAAAATAATTAGTTAATCTAGATTTAATATATATTGCTTTGTGTTTATGAGCAGTATACTTCCTTTAGATGAAAGGCGTAACCGTCATAAACTATAATAGTGTATAACAAGCCGGTAACAGATGATATATTGGACTACATAGAAAATGATCTAGTTCAAATTCCCACCCCCCCTCACCCATTTTTTACCCCCCCCACCTTTTCAACCTTATAGCCCTTATCCCTTTAATTCCTTTATGGGCCCCTTTTAGTTGATATTATTTCACATTACATGTCCCACTCCTTTCATCCTTATGTCTGCTCTAGGTTTTTTTTAGTGTGTCGGGGGCCGCGTCCTGTGAACGTTGCCTTTGCCTTGTTGTAGCAATGCTACATGATATTTTTTGGTCTACATTTCCAAGTTATGAAGGTGTTACATGAAAAGAACACTGCTTGATAATGTCAAAAAACTTTATTTTAACAAGAAATATTTAACACTCTTTTTTTGGTGATTTTTTTAGTCTATCACATATTCATATACCTAAAACTGTCATTTTCCTAAAAAAGTGAAAATTCTAACCCCAGTCAGTTTTTACATCACTATTTGAAATATTTCCAAAGAAACAGTCTTTTCACACTTCAGTATTAAAAACTTGAACTTCTGAACATGCAATTTATCCAAATACACGGAAAAAAGCAGCACATGCCATAAGTTAATGCTCTTGGAACTTCGGTTTGGACTTGTGTCAAAATGTTAAAAACGACAAATACGGTGCCTTACATGAGTAAACATTAAATGATTAATACTGTAATTTTTAGTGAATACTTCCTCCATCATATTCCATGTATTAGTGGTAATTATTTTAATGACAAGTTACACAATCGGGGATACACGTTCATTGCATCACTCTCACATTGCAATGCCAATGGCAATGTCATAAACAAAGAAATTGTCAGCATTTCAAAGGTTGAAACATAACTAATGTCATTACTGTTACATCAATGATCATGCATATCAAGTAAATAAAACAGAATTTTAGAACACTAATTTTAATGGCCTAGTGTATAGTAATCACTGATTCAGTGCCAGTAATAGCAATATCAATTCGTTTCCCCACCCACTGACCCAATCACTGAAAACTGGCCGTATTTCTTTATCTGAGCATTGTCATAATAAACTGTGAACAGTTCTTATAAAACAGGAGTTATTGCAACATTATTACAACTTACACCAAGGGAAATACTTCTTCAATCGCAGAAAATATGTGAAATATGTATAATCTGTTTGTTTTTTCACAAACAGGAAGTTGACAGTACTACTTTCGGATTGCTCTCAAATTTACCGCTGTTTTCAATGAGTGTCCAAGATAAGGTACACTATTGCACGCAGGTCACAAATCTTCAAAAATAAATACTTTGTCCAGGTCCAATGATGAAATTAAAGGGTATATTCGAAAGATTGATAATTATTTCATAAGAAACGCACATTTACTTGAGTGTAATGGACTTGAAAGTGAAAAATATATGCAAATCTTTTCTTTCCAATTTGATTTCATTTAGAAAGGTGCGGGTTCAACGATATAAAAATACGGTTACACATTAATTAATGTTTCTATTAATAAATGCAACTATTTTTACTGACCAACGAACTGTTGTCTAAGAATAATTTACAGGCAAAAACGTCATGGGTTTCCCGATTTATTGAGGTCAGACATTTTCATTGGTCTGCGCACTTCGTTGCGCAGCGCCATCTAGCGAGCGTAGCATTGCTACTTGTTGATCTTTATTCTTGTTTTTTTTTAAAACCAGAGTATAGCCTGTATTTCTAATGTGTTAAAATTTCAATCAGACAATGGCCATGATAAATTTGGTGTTGCGTTAGCAATCTCCTGGTTCATTTTTCCATATTAGTAAATTTCACAATATCCCCCACAATTAGATAATTTCATGACACAAATCCCAAATTTGCCATGAAGCGTTTTCCCATGAATAAAAGCCTGCTGTTGTAAATATGTGAATTCTTTGTTTGGTAAAGATTATCAGGACAGTTAGAATCATATGCAAGGCGGAAAGCATAATTGCAAATGAAAGACGGATGAGTAATTAAAATGAGAATATATGCACTTTGTGTTTCTAATGGAAACTGCACAAGTTTAAATAACATGTTTCATGTCCGAAAAAATCGAATAGCCGAACACTGTTACATTTTATGACTTTCCTTACATTCTTGTATCATTAACAAGAAATATATTTCTGAAACACTGCAAAATGAGAGAAATAAACATTTTACTGCTGATTTATACAATATAATGCACTGTCCCTGAATATCATGTATTTTAAATTTAAAGTTAATGAATAAATTACCTCCATTTTTAACGGCGTACCGTTATATTTACACACTGTCATTTCCGAAATAAAATTGTTGAACACTACTAAATGTTCATAATGATATTTAGGCAGCACACCACACTAAATGAAACCACAGCTTCGAATGGCCAGCAAATTACAGAGACTGTTTTGAAGGTAGCTGTTACACTATTACAAAGTGACTGGTTTGAAGGCAGCTGTAACACTAGTACAAAGTGACTGGTTTGAAGGCAGCTGTTAGACTATAACAAAATAACTGGTTTGAATGCAACTTAACACTAAATATATTACAAAGTGACTGTTTGAAGGCAGCTATTATACTATTACAAAGTGACTGTTTGAAGGTAGCTGTAACACTATTACAAAGTGACTGGTTTGAAAGGAGCTATTATACTATTACAAAGTGACTGTTTGAAGGCTGCTGTAACACTATAACAAAGTGACTGGTTTGAAGGCAGCTGTAACACTATAACAAAAGGACTGGTTTGAAGGCAGCTGTAATACTATTACAAAGTGACTGGTTTGAAGGCAGCTGTAACACTATAACAAAGTGACTGGTTTGAAGGCAGTTGTAACACTATAACAAAGTGACTGGTTTGAAGGCAGCTGTAACACTGTTACAAAGTGACTGTTTGAAGGCTGCTGTACACTATTACAAAGTGTTCATTTTGAAGACAGCTTTAACCTAAATTAGCAGAGTACTGTCTTGATAACTGTTACGATATAGAATGTATATAAAATATCTCAATTTTTGAAAATATTTGCATTATAACAAGAGGGCTGAATTGATAGATAAAAAATTCATCAGAAACGTTTTGTGAATGTCAATTTTTAACATGTCATTTTGACACTGTTACTTTATAACATGAAGCAATCTAACATTATATTGTAACTTTATAACATCAGAACATTTTAACATGTTAAGGACGTTTTCGGGAGTTTTCATATAGACATATAGGCAAAACTAAAACTGTTCAATAGAATTTTTTTAAACTTGGCATGTTGTTAGAATATGATAACATTTTAAGCGGAAAAAAATTGGGGTCACCGTTTTCGTTTTTTTGAGTTATCTGCACCTGAATCAGACTTTTTTTACTTATTTGAGGTCATTTCAAGGGCAGATAACTGATACATACTTAAATGAATTCTTGTTTTTACTTCTGGATTATGTTTTTCTTTTTATTGTCGAGTACAAAACATAAAAACATGCAATTCCTTACATCGTTTCTGTTAATTTTTTTCAATGAAAATAAAGGTACTTTAAATTCTTAAAAAATAGGCCATTTTTTAAGAAAACATGCACAGGTTAAAAGAAAAAGTGGGAATAAAAACTACCCACTCTAAATTTGTTCTTGAAATTTTGCATATCAATAAAAACGAAGGTAAGCTTCATGAAAATAAGAAAGAAAAAATTGTATTGTTTCAATTCATTGTAAATTATCTGCCCTTGAATTTAACAAAAATGTCCAATTCAAGGGCAGATAACTCAAAAATAAGAACGGTGACCCCAATTTGTTTTTTTTCGCTTAAAATTTTTCTGTTATCATATTCTAACAACATGCCAAGTTTAAAGAAATTCTATTGAACAGTTTTAATTTTGCCTCTATGAAAACTCCCGAAAACGTCTTTAATTGCTTTAATATTGACTATATACTTTAATCTTGTAACATCATAATAGTAATACAAACCTTTTAACTAACATTCAAGGTACTCCACTTAGATTTTTTGACATAACAAGACAGGGTCTCCTGATGTAACACCCATGAATGGTGTCTTACGTCACACCCCAGGGAAGATAAAAATACAAACACTGTTTTATTTTGTTCCCAAATTTATTCATTGTTTCCAGCCTTGGACAAATTACAACTTATACATCAAAGCAACTGTGACATCCACAACAATTTATTCACCATGAACACAAATTTACCATTCACAAATAATTGTCCATAAAACTATTTTTCAGTTTATATATAACAAGAACAAGTCAGTAGTTTGAAAATAATTCTGTTAAGACAGATTGACTTTCAGGATTATCTTAAAATTATGTTTTCTGACCTCATATAACTCTCAGCAATTTAATAACACATACATGTATATAACCCATGTTTTTCTTTGGTTTGGTGTTACGATGCACCAACACAACTTCAGTCATAATGGCTCCTAAATAGGAAAGTTGATTTTGGCTAACCTCGGGGTTGGTAATTTATTTATTATATATAGTTGATACCATTTTTCATTTCTCACTATCCTCAGGCCAGATGGAGACTCTAAACATGATTTGGGTTCATCATATGAGCAGCGTCATGACAAAACCAACATAGTGGGTTTGCGACCAGCATAGATCCAGACCAGCCTGCCCATCTGCACAGTCTGATCAGGATCCATGCTATTCGCTTACCAACACTATTACAAGTAGAGAAACTAATAGCGAACAGCATGGATCCTGATCAGACTGCGCGGATGTGCAGGCTGGTCTGGATCCATGCTGGTCGCAAACGCACTATGTTGGTTTTGTCATAACGCGGCTCATATCTTGTTACATTATTTTCATTGGTTTTTATTAAGAAAAAGAAGTGTTTTCAGGAATATAAAAGAAATCTGAACTTCTGGCAAAAGCTTGAAAACTCGTATCCATGGTAATGTTTTTATCCAATATCCAATGTTCATACATTATTCTGAGCATTTAGAGAGATTTATTACCAAATTCTGATCCGTACAGTATGTATATTATCTGTATTATAAATTTTCAACATGCACTTCTTAGTAAGTTAATCGATAGTTAAATCATTGTTAAAACTCATTTCAAGCATTGTCGTATTAAACAGTAATGTATGCGTGTATGGTGTTGCCAACGAATATCATTTTATTCAAGAATGGGCCTCCAACTGCTGTAGTAATAATCGTCTTTGTTTCTCTAATTCTCCCTCGCTCATGTCACTCCCCGAAGAATAACCACCCTGAAAATATAGTGAAAAAATACTTTATATTACAAATACTCTCCTTCAGCAAGTTTGTGGTAGTCCATCATGAATATAGCAGAATAATGATAAACATTTAACACAGGGATAGCATAAAGTAAAGATTTAAGAATACAATGATTTGTCTTTTAAAATTACACCGGCAAACTATTTTGTTTTTGTTGTTGTTTTGTTTGGTTTTAGGGCGCAGCAACACACTTTAGGTCAAAATGGCGCAAAACTGGTAAGATGATTTTGGCTTACCTCCAGTGTTACAAGCTTGAAGCAGCACCAGGGGTCAAAATCACCTCACCTGTTTGAGCTAAGAGATGCACAGACTTCAGTGATTTGAACTTATTTGGTCGTTTTCTTGCAAATCACACCAGGGATAAAAAGTGGAAATTCTGATGCCTCAACCCTTAAATGGCAACCCCTCAAGCACAAGGGGGACACTGGCAACTTTAAAAACAAAATGAATCCATCATACCTTTCTATGATCATAAACTGGGGTTGGTTTGCCAACAATTTCAACTATTTAGCATGCACTTTTACATTATAACATTGTCAAAAAGAGAATATGTATTATTATCCCAGAGAAAAATAGAGCTAAAATTTGCTCTGAAAATACATTTTTTAAACTAGAAATTGTGTCATCAATGCCACGGATGCCCCCGCATGCAGCCAAAATTTCAGATGGTGCATTAAAGTATTTTTTTCATTTTAAGTTCAAAGCCCTTAAAAAACTTTTCAAGGTTAACACAAACCATTTTCATACAATGTTCAAGGCACTGGGAAATATATGGGCAGTCTTAACCTTTTAAAAATAGCATATGCATATTTGGTAGCCAAAATAATGGCTAAAAGTATGAGTGCTGAAAACTGAAAGTTCAAAATTTTTCCAACATTCAGGAAAGATAAGTTTGTCTAAAATCATTGAACCACGACCAAATTAAACTTAAACTGCTTATTCCTAAGATGTACCTATATTATTTTTCAAAATTAATTAGGGGACATAACTCTGCCAAAAAATCCTCAAACCATGACCAAAATTCCAACTTGACCTGCCCCATTCCTTTGACATATCTAATTGTCAAGATTTTAAGTTGAATATGTAACACTGTTGGGTAGATAATGAAACAGAAACTGTAAAATTTCATATTATTTTCAAAGTGAAAGGGGCATAACCCCTCTGCAAAAATCATTGAACCATGACCAAATTTGAACTTGACCTGCGCATTCCTTTGACGCATCCATATGTCAAGTTTGAGTTGAATGTGTTGTACGCTCTTGGGGAGATAATGAACGGAAACTGAAAAATTTCATAATTGTTTTCAAAGTAAAAGGGGGCATAACTCTGCCAAAAATCATCGAACCATGACCAAATTCGAAACTTGACCTGTATTTCTCATGACATATCCATATGTCAAGTTTGAGTTGAATGTTTTGTACCTTTGGGGAGATAATGAAGGGAAACTGAAAATTTCATATTAATTTCAAAGTGAAAGGGGCATAACTCTGCCAAAAATCATCGAACCATGCACCAAATTCGAACTTGACCTGTATTTTCTCATGACATATCCATATGTCAAGTTTGAGTTTGAATGTGTTGTACCGTTGGGGGAGATAATGAACGGAAACTGAAAATTTCATATTATTTTCAAAGTAAAAGGGGCATAACTCTGCCAAAAATCATCGAACCATGACCAAATTCGAACTTGACCTGTATTTTCTCATGAAATATCCATATGTCAAGTTTGAGTAGAATGTGTCTGTACCGTTGGGGAGATAATGAACGGAAACTGAAATTTCATATTATTTTCAAAGTAAAAGGGGCATAACTCTGCCAAAAATCATCGAACCGTGACCAAATTCGAACTTGACCTGTATTTTCTCATGACATATCCATATGTCAAATTTGAGTTGAATGTGTGCAACCGTTCTTAAGATAATGAACGGAAACTGATGATGACGGAATGACAGAATGACGGAAGGACGGAAGGATGGAAGGACGGAAGGACGGAAGGATGGAAGGACGGAAGGACGGAATGACGGAACAGGGTAACACTATATGCCCCGGCCATTACATGGCGGGGGCATAAAAATACAAAATGATTTAATGATAACATTTGTCAGAAATCCTAAGATGACATAAACAAATAATGTGTATGACAGTATCTTAGAATAATGCTGGTATTTTAGAATATGATAAAATATCTTTACGTTTCCAACAGATATACAACCTTAATTCAGTTTCCCAGTTGATCAATAACCATCAATAACAGATAGGGGAGCGGTGAACTAGTGGTTAAGGTGTCTGCCTCTCACCCCAGGAATCATGGGTTTAAGCCCTAATCTGGTCACGACCATGTTTTTCCACATGATACCAGTACTGGTTGGTTCTAGGAAGAGCACTCGAAAGTGATTAATATGAGTTGCAATAACTTATTTCGCAATCGAGCACAAATAAATATGTTTAAACCAAACTATAACAGATAAGTAATGACCTTTCTTTTTCAGGACCGAAATTGTAACAATATTATTTTTTGGATTTGATGACCAAAATTTTCAAGCCAAAAATTATGTCACAAGGTAAAAGTTATCAAAATCCTTTGGTTACTTAACTAAGGATACCCACTAGATATATATATAGTAAAACTTTGTCAACACTATTATCTTGCTGAAACAACATAAAATTATCAAGTTTCAAAAATGGCCAATAAGTAAAACTAGGTCAAATCATCACCATATTTAAAAGTTAATACATTACTCCCATTTTTATGAAATCTGGTCAAAGATTCAATTTTGAAAAAAAACCAAAACAACTTTATAAACTAACATTGTGCACATATATCGAAAAATATTTGTATCACTTCACTAGAACAAGTTAATATTTCTTTCTTTTTTTTTTATAAAAATCTTGATAACCAAATTTCCATAATTGGTGCATTACAATTAAAACCTAGCTCTCTTTTTAACACTGATTGCATTGAAAGCAAATAAAAACTGTAACCAAGGAAAAATATAGACACAGAAACTAAACAACATCAAAGTGAAAAAATATTTAAATTTCCCTTCAGAAAAAAAACCTTTTGCCCAACCAATCAAATATTTTTTTGCCCAAAGTTAACCTGTTTTTTTTGTGCTAAGTCTATTCATAATCATGCCAAATATATCTGTAATTAATCAAATTGTATTCAATTTATACTATATCAACTTTGCTGAATTGTTTGTTCAGTTGCCAGTTCAATAGGGAAAAAAACACAGCATAAAATATTTTCAGAGAGTAATCTAATACTGTTGTCATATAAGGAATATCAATTATGAGGAATATCAATTATGAGGAATATCAATTATGAGGAAAATCAATTGAGGGAAAACCAATTATGAAGAAAAATCAATTATGAAGAATATCCATTATGAGGAATAACAATTATGTGGAAATCAATTATGAGGGAAATCAATTATGAGGGAATAACAATTGTGAGGAAAACCAATTATGAGGAAAATCAATTATGAGGAATTACAAGTATCAGGAATATCAATTATGAGGATTAACAAGTATGAGGAATAACAATGATGAGGAATAACAATTATGAGGAATAACAATTATGAAGAATATCGATTATGAGGATTAACAATTATGAGAAAATCAATTATGCGGGAAATCAATTATCAGGGAAAAACAATTATGAGGAAAATCAATTATGAGGAGTAAGAATAATGAGGAAAAACAATTATGAAGAAAATCAATTATGAGGAATTACAAGTATAAGAAATAACAAATATGAGGAAAATCAATAATGAGGAAAAACAATTTTTATCCTTGTAGCTCTCTGGTTATGGTTGGATTTCAAGTGACATTGACAGTGCAAAGGTCAAATGACCTCTCAGTCTTATAATAGAGAGATCTGCACCTGTAGTGTTGTTGGGCATGCAAGAACGAGAATTTGGCTTTTATTTTTGTTTTGTTTTACGGCACACCAACACAGATTATGTCATATGGCACCGAAACATGAATTTCAAAGCTGATTTAGGTTTATTTTCTCTTGTCTCCCATATATCTTTAACATGGAGAAGCATAAAATATTTTCAATCGGTATGTTTTGTAAGTGCTGACAAACAAGTGCATGTCTAACACAGTGACCTTTTTTGAATGTGCCAGGATTCTATACAAAAAAACTTAAATATATTCTCTCAGGAAATGGCTAACTCTAACCTCACAAATCATTCCTTTCAGCTACAGAAGAAAACTATCAGTAGACTGTACTTAATCATATTATCCCCCCCCCCCTCATAGATCACAAGTCAAAATACAAGAACTGATATATACCCAGGCCAGCCTGCACATTTGTGTGCAGTCTGATCAAAATCTATAAATTTTTGGCGGACCTACCTAAAATTGATAATGGACTATTCCACAATTAAAATTGGACAAGTCCATTCAGAAAATTCAGGGTCAGCAACTAGGATAAGTTGTATATATACAAATCTATCAATATGGGTCTTTCTCCATCAATGAAATGCAAAATGTTTAAGTAAACACCCCCACTGTTTTATTGAATCATGTCATATTAAAAGTAAAACTTAAAATAAACATAAAACATAAAATCAAATCGATTTTGAACTCGTAAAAAACACAGTCTTGACCTAATCTGTTAAAATGCTAAAATGTTAACTTATTGTATAAGTCACTGGACTGATTTTTTTTGTAATAAATGAAGTAACCTTTATCCGATTATCTACCGTTAATTGACCAATGATAAAGAGTCTAGTTGTCAAAATTCTTTACTTTACTAACAATTCATATAGTCTATAACATAACATCTTCACACATTATCTAGTTTGTGCCCGAGGATTTATTGCAAAATGGTAATTTATACGGCCATAATCACACATACATGTAGACTATATCAAAACCAAGAAAGACTGCTTCGAAAAAACATATCCACATAAAAATATTAGGACAAAGATAAGAGAATTGAGCCGCGTCATGACAAAACCAACATAGTGGGTTTGCGACCAGCATGGATCCAGACCAGCCTGCGCATCTGCGCAGTCTGATCAGGATCCATGTTGTTCGCTTACAAACCCTATTACAAGTAGAGAAACTGATAGCGAACAGCATGGATCCTGATCAGACTGCGCGGATGAGCAGGCTGGTCTGGATCCATGCTGGTCGCAAACCCATTATGTTGGTTTTGTCATGGCGTGGCTATTAAATTTCATGCATCTATCTAAAATCATCTTTTTGCACTTTTTTTTACCATTATTACAACACAATTGCCACAACATTCAAGAGTAAAGAAAACCATAGAGCACAACAGAAAAAGCAGATTCACCAACATTGCAACAATTTCTATAATTTCAAATTTTTTGTTTGTTTAAATTCATATACATCATAAATTTAATTTTTATATAAACAAGAGGGCAATGATGGCCCTAAATCGCTCAACTGAGTGACAGTCGAGCTAATAAATGATAAATAAATGATAAATCTGTTATAATTTTATTTTATAAATATATTACTTATGATAGTTATCCCACTGTCACCTTAGTGCAGTAATGGGTTAACTCCTTAAGTTATATTCTTTAATAGGAGTTAACCTGTTACTGCACTAAGGTGTATATTATATTAAGTCATGTATCATAAATCAGAATGTAAATATATGTGTACACAAAATACAAACTATACATATATGTCATATACTTTCAATAGTCATAAAAATATACGCATGTTTATCACATCAACCGCGGCGCAGGAGTGTAATTAAGCTATTTAATAAAACACTAATTACACTAGTGTAATAACACTTTGACGTGACGTCATTTGCGCTATATAGAAACATAGCGTTAAAGCGCGCTAATGTTAGCGTTACACTATAGGCGCGTCATTGAAAAATTACTCATTTTAACAGTTTACTGTTCCTATCTTTAATATGTGATAAATAGAATATTATATTCGTTTAATTTATTGAACTCGTTGAATAAAACAATATTATGCTCGCCCGAGGCTCGCATAATATGATTTTATTCAACTCGTTCAATAAATTTAGTATTAAACTACACTCATTCAATATCCTCTATATATAACATGCAAAAATAGTCACATATAATGCATGTACATTAAAGTTTCAAATATAAATAATACAATGTATATACTGTGAATTCTCTTAATTTCATGGGCATGAAATTTCATGGTTTTGTCTTAAAGAACATTTTCATGGGTTCTTAAATTCATGGACTGTGTATTTTTTCCAATAGGTAAAATGTACACCATGACAGGCAAAATAATCTTACAGCAGATGAAATGAAATTTCTTTTGATCTTAAATTTGTGGATTGACCTAATCCACAAAAATCACGAAAAATTAGTTCCCCACAAATAATAATGATTTTGCAGTAGTAATGAACATAGTCATAATTATGTGATGTTGAAGATGGGAGACACTGGTAAGGAATGATTTTATAAAGTTTAAAAAAAATCCCTGAATAATCAATATGTAATTTATTAAAGATTAAAAATGATAGGTGAAAAATAAAAATAGTACATAAGACACTGATACTCCATAGTTTTTCACTGTTTCTTTAACCAATGGACAGACAGCATAACAAACAAAAAAGGGCAAAACTATATCCCCATCTCCACCCCAAAACAAATAAAGGCATAAATTCTTAGTTTAGAGGGGAGATGTTTGTTTGTTTATTTTAATATGTTGTCTTACCTACAGTGTTAAGGTCATACGGGTCTTTCCAGCTTAGCTTTACTGGTGAAGGAAGACCTCAGGTGTCGCTTTGTGAATTACTCCAAGCATAAGCCGGCTCTCAAGGAGAACCATCTTAACAAGCTGGATACTTCTTCAAAGTCCCACAGTATTGGTAATGTCATTATCCAGCTTTACTGGCGGAGGAAGACCTCATGTGCCCCTTCGTGTATTTCAAGCATGACAAGTCACCATAGTAGAACCACCAACCTTCTGTTAGCTAGCTTGATAGCTTCCTCACATGAAAGGATTCAATGTCCCAGTTAGGATTTGAACCCACAGCCGTGATGGGCAAGTGATTTTAAGTCAACTAACTTAACAACTCTGCCACAGACACCCCTCAAAGGGGTGATAATCATTAAAATATAGATGCCAGATTGATGTACCTTGTAATATAATTATGATGTAGAAAATTATAATGGTCAAATATTCAAACTTGGGAGAAAATTTTGTCAGTTTCAAATTGATACAAGTAAAAAGTATTTGACTATGCATCGACTTAAAGAAAAATCTGCCAGCATGTGAACACTAGAACAGCTCTAAATATACAACGTAGTGTCTAACTTACAATAGCTGACAAAATTCTCGTCCATTTAATAAATATTTAACACTGGAAGACATAGGGGATTATGGTAAACAGGGGATTGATTTAACAATATGACTCTTTCTTTATCTTACCCCTCTATGCTTCTTTTTCTTGGACTTCTTCTTGTGTTTCTTTGAGGACTTCTCATCTTTGTCTTCAGCTAACATCAAAGAGAAAAACAAATAAAACAATTCTATTCTGAACTATAAAAATTCTAACAGAGTCTGAGTTAGGAAAAAAGTACACTTTCCTTTTTAAAGAGACGCACTTTAATTATCAAGATAAATATGATGTCAATAGATCAAACAATGTTCAGTCAAATTATTTACTACTGGATGATGTTAAAAACTTTAATAGGTTTCCAGTTAATTTCAATTTTTTAAGCATGTTTAAATGGAAAGACACAATCACCAAATTGATTATCAGCTGCTAGTATGTCATTCAATTCAATTCAATTCCAATTAGTCATTTCTATATATAGATATTGACTGTATATTTCTATAAATAGATTTTGACTGTATATTTCTATAAATAGATTTTGACTGTATATTTCTAATAGATAGATTTTGACTTTATATTTCTATAAATAGATTTTGACTGTATATTTCTATAGATAGATTTTGACTGTATATTTCTATAAATAGAATTTGGCTGTATATTCTACTGGCTATACAGGTCAAGAGTGTCTATAAATTAATTTCTATCAATAGATTTTGACTGTATATTTCTATAAATAGATTTCAAATGTATATTTCTATAAATAGATTTGGACTGTATATTTCTATAAATAGATTTTGGTGGCTATACAGCTCAACAGTGTATATAAATTCATTTCTATAAATAAGATTTTGACTGTATATTTCTATAAATAGATTTCAAATGTATATTTCTATAAATAGATTTTGACTGTATCCATGTATTTTGACATATAAATATATTACCTGGTGATGGGGAATGATAGCTTGGTGACCTTGACCTTGACTTCCTCCTCTTTTTGGATTTATGGCGAGATGATGATTCCTCTTCTGAGTAATCTCCCTGTAATAACATTTAACATACTACGATTTATGCTAAAATAAATCAACTGTTCAACTGTTCAAGATAGCTTTACCTGTCTTATTCAAAGTAACATGTTTTTTTGTTGTGTTTTTGTTTTTTTTGGTTGGATTTTACATCACACCAACAAAGTAAATGTTATATGACATATGACTTTCCAGCCTTACTAGTGGAGGAAGATCTCAGGTGCTCTTTTGTGAAATATTTCAGGCACAAACAGGCACCAGAGTAGAACCACCGCCAAAGTAACATTTAACATGTTACAATTTTCTCTATAAAATTAAATAAACCTTTTCATTGCCTTCAAGATGGGTATACCAAGTGATATTTTTTTTGTAAATTTAAAGTTCAAAAAAATAATTCTTGAAATATTAGTCATATATGTTGTATATGATGATTAGAGACATACATTTAAAGTAAATCTCTTAAGTACTTAAAAATATACAGTAAACTCAACGTATAAAAATACAGCTTATATCTATATACCGCTTATATTGATGCTCTTGCCGCCATTCCGAACCTCGGTTATCAATTTGGTTGCCTCTCAGATATAACAATATCCAAATATAAAGATATAAATGTAGAGTCCCTGAATACCCTTATATGCTGAGTTAACTGTATTGTAAAATACTAAAAGAATTTACGGCGCAGATGCCTATGCCAGAGTGAGTCAGATAGCTCGCCATACATATTGTAACGTCAACCTAAAAAACCGACACTTACTGAACGTGACCTTGATCTGGATCTTCTGCTTTTGTGTTTCTTTGATTTTCTCTTTTTTGGGTGCCTGTGCATGCACGCTTCCTCTACAGCCACTAGGAACTCCTTAAACAATCTAATACGTTCTGCCTCCAGCGTGATTGCCTCAAATGCTGCCTCATTCTCGAACCTTGTTCTAATCTGTAAAAAAATAAACAGCTCAGTTTTTGTACTCTCTTCGTTTCACAGACAAAAAAGGAGGTATTTAAATGTGTCAAGTTATGATAATAATAATATAGTAAATGTTAAGGTTTTTGCTCCTATTTGCTACAAAAAAAACCCCCATAGATTATTCAGCCATAATTTATTAATGTATTTGTCATCAACATTTGATATGAATAAAAATGTTACATTTCAAATTCAGTTTATAGAAATAAAAAAAAAACAACACTTAAAAACTGAATGTGTAAGGTCCTGAAAAAAACCCAGAAAGTATACTTTCAAAATTTCTAAACAACATGTAATGGATAATGCAAATTGACTCATTTAATATTAAATACATGTACTTGTATTTGCAAAAGCATCATTATCATTATTTATTCTATATTTATTGGCTTTAAAATATCACATAGCCACTGTAATTGTCATATCCCTACATTTTAGCGTAATAATCATGGAGGAAGACCTAAGTTTAACCTCTATACAATGATTTCAGACAGGAACAAACAGTACCTCACATGATTTATTGACTACATATATATAGCCTTACATGACACCAGAAGCTACAATCCCTAATGTCACATGGCACATAACAGCACACTGAAAACTAGAAATGTGTCATCATGCCACGGATGCCCCCGCATGCAGCCAAAATTTCAGATGTTATAATATTTAGTTCCAAATTTGTTTGCACAAATTATTGTTTTCATTTTAAGTTCAAAGCCCTTAAAACTTTTCAACGTTTACACAAACCATTTTCATACAATGTTCAAGGCACTGAAATTATTCAGTCTTAACCTTTTGAAAATAGCATATTTCATATTTGTAGCCAAAATAATGGCTACATACATTTCCACGAAAGTATGAGTGCTGAAACTGAAAGTTCAAATTTTTTCCAATATTCAAGAAAGATAAGTTTGTCCAAAATCATTGAACCATGACCAAATTCAAACTTAAACTGCTTATTCCTAAGATGTATCTATATTATTTTCAAAGTGAAAGGGACATAACTCTGCCAAAAATCATCGAACCATGACCAAATTCAAACTTGACCTGCCCATTCCTTTGACATATCCATATGTCAAATTTGAGTTGAATATGTAACACTGTTGGGTAGATAATGAACAGAAACTGTAAATTTCATATTATTTTCAAAGTGGAAGGGGCATTACTCTGCCAAAAATCATTGAACCATGACCAAATTCGAACTTGGCCTGGCATTCCAAAAACATATCCATATGTGAAATTTGAGTTGAATGTGTTGTACTGTTGGGGAGATAATAAACAGAAACTGAAAATTTCATATTATTTTCAAAGTAAAAGGAGCATAACTCTGCCAAAAATCATCGAACCATGACCAAATTCAAACTTGACCTGTATTTTCTCATGACATATCCATATGTCAAATTTGATTTGAATGTGTTGTACCGTTGGGGAGATAATGAACGGAAACTGAAATTTCATATTATTTTCAAAGTAAAAGGGGCATAACTCTGCCAAAAATCATCGAACCATGACCAAATTCGAACTTGACCTGTATTTTCTCATGACATATCCATATGTCAAATTTGAGTTGAATGTGTTGTACCGTTGGGGAGATAATGAACGGAAACTGAAAATTTCATATTATTTTCAAAGTAAAAGGGGCATAACTCTGCCAAAAATCATCGAACCATGACCAAATTCGAACTTGACCTGTATTTTCTCATGACATATCCATATGTCAAATTTGATTTGAATGTGTTGTACCGTTGGGGAGAAAATAAACGGAAACTGAAAATTTCATATTATTTTCAAAGTAAAAGGGGCATAACTCTGCCAAAAATCATTGAACCATGACCAAATTCAAACTTGACCTGTATTTTCTCATGACATATCCATATGCCAAATTTGAGTTGAATATGTGCAACCGTTACTAAGATAATGAACGGAAACTGATGATGACGGAATGACAGAATGACGGAATGACGGAATGACGGAAGGACGGAAGGACGGAAGGACGGAACAGGGTAACACTATATGCCCCGGCCATTACATGGCGGGGGCATAAAAAACAGAACTAGTAAGCTTATTAAGCCTTGTAGTGATTCCTAGATGACTCTAAGTCTTATCTAGAGCACTGTATCATATACTTACATCTTCCCATTTATTATCTTGTTCTATGGCTGGAGTTGCCTCCTGTAACATGTTCTTAAAAGCTGTCTCTAATTTCCTCAACTGAAATCAGCATAAAAACAAGGTTTCATACCTAACAATATATTGTTTTGTTTGTTTGTTTGGTTTAGTTCGGTTTGGTTTTACAGCGCACCAACTTAGTTTATGTCATATGGTGCTGAAAGAGGAAAGTTGATTTTGACTTATCTAAGTTGTTACAAACTTAAAGCAACACCATGGTCAAAAACCTCCTTATGTGCTAGAACTCGAAGATGCACAGACTCCAATAATTCGAAACTATCTAGTCACCTCTTGCGATCAAGCAGGGATAAATAGTGGCAGCAGTTCTGATGTCTCAATCCTTTGAGACCATCCCTCAGCCACAAGGGGTTTGTAATGACATATGTATGTATCATACAAAAGATAATTATCAAACTGCACACTTTTAGTATAGCAGATAAAATAAAAAAATATCTTATGTTTCTTTATTAATTTACTACTGTTTATAGACGTGTCACTGGTGAAAAACTTCTTCTAAGGGTGAAATGAGCCGCGTCACGACAAAACCAACATAGTGCGTTTGCGACCAGCATGGATCCAGACCAGTCTGTGCATCCGCGCATTCTGATCAGGATCCATGCTGTGCATTATCAGTTTCTCTACTTGTAATAGGGTTGGTAAGCGAAAAGCATTGATCCTGATCAGACTGCACTGATGCGCAGGCTGGTCTGGATCCATGCTGGTCGCAAACACACTATGTTGGTTTTGTCGTGAGGCGGCTCAAATGCTTTTCTCATACTTTTACCTAACTTATGATGTATTAACAATTTGAATGACTGCACTTTATATATAGAGGTAGAAAAGCTGTTCAAAATATCATTATAGGCCAGTTCAATCATTTTCAGGCATTCAAAAGCAAAGGTCAATAATGTAGCAATAATTGTGCTGATAAGAAACCAGATTAACCATTCTTAGATATTTCAGATATTAGTGAGAGTCTGTCCACAAACCTTCAAAAGCTACCTGTTAAACTATCACACCTTAGCAGGGTTCCATACCACAGCAATGAAGCCCTTATGATTCAAATTAAACCTTTACCACACTAAGTATCTTAATTGACCTTGTCCACCTGTCAAACTGGACTTAACCATTCATCGTTTTTAGGAAAAATTTTCAAAATATGTACTGACTGAATAGCAAACAGTGCAGACCATGATTAGATGGCATGGATGTGTCTGCTGATCTGGGTCTGCACTGGTTGCACGGGTAGACGCAGATGGCGCAAGCAGACCAAGGATTTAATTACTACAACTATCGGATATATCTAATAAATTCAAACCTTTCTGGCCTCTTCTTTTAATCTTTCTTTTTCCCTGGCTTCAGCTTTTTCAATTAACTGAAAAACAAAATAACAAGAGTTATCTGTAAGACAGCAAGCTTCATTATTCTGCGCTTCATAGAAAAAAGGGACATAACTCTGTTTAAACGTAACTCATAGTTATGGGACATGTGCCTATCACGTTAAATAATCAAAGAGAAGTATGTTAAGTGTCAACCCATTCCATAGCGTATTTTTTGAGATACCAACTTATACAGAAACACAGCTAAAGTGTGATGCCTATGCCAAGGTGGTGTACAGTAGCTTTCCTAATTCTTTGAATAGTCAAGCTAAAAATGTCTAACAACTCTCCTTAATAGTTGAATTCATAAGATAAAACGTGCAGCAAGAATAATACTTGATAAAGATTTTGATGCGCCTACTGATGAGTTATTTTCTGAATTGAACTGGATGAAATTCTCTGATAGAGTGAATTATAAAAAGGCCATTTTAGTATACAAGTCCCTAAACAATCTTCTCCCTGATTATATGCAAAATCTTTTTACAAATACAGAAAATAAATCATTAAGATCATATGAACAAAAACTTCTTTTAGTCCCCAAACCAAGAATTGAATTCTGCAGAAAATCCCTATCATATTCAGGCTCAAAATTTTGGAACTCCCTCCCTTTAAACATAAGAAATTCTTCCAACTTACAAACATTCAAAACAAATTATCTTAAATGGTGGTTCTCTGGTGGGCACCAAATAATCTAGCTATGTTTTAATATCACATATATACATGTATGTCTCATAAAATGTACAATTTCATACTTTCAAATGTTTGTATTCATTTTCTTATTGCATTTTTCAATTACTCAACTTTTCTTTGTTGTATAACTTGTATACATTTAGTTTTCTTTCTTTGTTTATATAAGTCTTTGTTTGTAACTGTATATATGTACATTTTTGATAGAGGCTCATAGGGAAGACTGGGCTTGCCTAACTATGTTGCCTCTTTAAATAAAGTCTTTATTATTATTATTATTATTATTATAATATATGAGCTGTTCTATTCTAAAAATTACATATTATACTTTCATTTTATCTACCTATGCATGTTCTGTTGTTGTTGTTTTCTATTTCAGAAGGCCACATTGGAAATAAGATATATATGATTGCTATTGTATGTTCTTAATGTGTAGCCTTCTTTAAAAAAAGATATTATTATTATTATTATAATATGCATTTAGCAGGATATTTCAAATACATTTTAAAGGAAACTGTTAAACATAGTATTAAATCATTTAAGAAAACACGGCAATGTATTTTTTTATCATCTAGAAAAATTGAATAAACTTGTTTATAATTCCGGGTCAATGGTACTCACACTGTTATATGTCAGTTTAATGTTGCCTGTATCTAGAGTGTTGGCCCTCTTGTCATCGGAGATCATGTTTGAAAACTCTTCAAATGTTGTGTTCACTTCTATCATAAACCCTCTATCCTGTTAAATTAAAGTGTATAAAGCTATATGAGCTGCGTCACGACAAAACCAACATTCGCTATCAGTTTCTCCACTTGTAATAGGGTTTGTAAGTGAACAGTATGGATCCTGATCAGACAGCGGGGATGCGCAGGCTGGTCTTGATCCATGCTGGTCGCAAACCCATTATGTTTGGTTTTGTCGTGACACAGCTCATATATCTGATGTTAAAATTATTGTTTGGATTTCAAAACAGGATACTTCCAAAATGATTGTATGAAATAACAAGAGCGATCAGTAATCACATGTGTCGCCTCATGATGGCCAATTTCATGTTGGGACAAATTTTGTGACAGACGGACAGACAGACGGACAGTGCACAACTAGACTAGGTTCTGATCATTCCTGTAAAGTTTGGATAAAATTGCACCAGTAGTTTATGAGGAGTAGTCCGGACAAGCTTTTGCGTATCTGGCAACACACAGAAAAAAACACCTTTTTATCAAAGGGCCATAACTCGGCCAAAAATCATTCAACCAGAAAACCCGTGCAATATGCGCAAGGACTTGAGCTACAGATCAATCCTGTAAAGTTTCATTGAAATTGCATTAGTGGTATAAGAGAAGTAGTCCGGACAAACTTTAAAAATAAAAATTATTAAAGGGCCATAACTCTGACAAAAATCATTGAACCGGAAAATGCTGACAATATGCACAACTAGACTTGGTACTGATCATTCCTGTAAAGTTTGGATGAAATTGCACCAGTAGTTTATGAGGAGTAGTCCGGACAAGCTTTTGTGTATCTGGCAACACACAGAAAAAAACACCTTTTTATCAAAGGGCCATAACTCGGCCAAAAATCATTCAACCGGAAAACCCGTGCAATATGCGCAAGGACTTGAGCTACAGATCAATCCTGTAAAGTTTCATTGAAATTGCATTAGTGGTATAAGAGAAGTAGTCCGGACAAACTTTAAAATTAAAAATTATTAAAGGGCCATAACTCTGACAAAAATCATTGAACCGGAAAATGCTGACAATATGCACAACTAGACTTGGTACTGATCATTCCTGTAAAGTTTGGATGAAATCGCACCAGTACTTTATGAGGAGTAGTCCGGACAAGTTTTGTGACGGACGGACAGACAGACAGACGGACAGACAGACGACGGAGAAGTGATCCCTATATGTCGCCACTACTCCGAAGAGGCGACACAAAAATGGCAATAAACTGCCTTAAAGCGAGTGGCGCATGCACAAAGATATTGCTTAACAGATAAAACCCTACTTAAAATAGCAAAATTTTGTTCCAGAACATTTTATTCTGTTTACGTACATTCTTCATGTTTATTAAATAATAGAGACATTCTGTGTTACGACTTTTTCGGAAATCAACCATATAATAATGGAACCAATATAACTTTACTGTTGGTAAGTTTAATATAAATATTTCATAAGATATAGATTAATACCCTTTAAAGATTTATGTATACTATGCTCAAATTTGATACTCGAAAATACTGATAATTGCTACATAGTGTTTTTGTAAATATAAAATAAACATGTTTTGACTTGAAACAAAGTAGATATGTTAAGTTTTAAACCCTACACACTATAGGTGGAACTATTTCTGAAGTTCAATCATCATATTTGAGCCGCGTCACGTCAAAACCAACATAGTGTGTTTGCGACCAGCATTGATCGAGGCTGTTCACTTACAAACCCTATTTTATGTAGAGAAACTTATAGCGAACAGCATGGATCCTGATCAGACTGTGCGGATGCGCAGGCTGGTCTGGATCAATGCCATGCTGGTGGCAAAATGCACTATGTTGGTTTTATCATGGCAAGGCTCAATTATATACGTAAGGCCAATCAGAAATAAATTGACAAATGAAAACAATGAGTTAAAGTATCTTACCCTCAATATTTCTTTGACAATCTTTTTCTCATCATGAAACCTTGCCTTCAAATCTTCAACATAAAACTTGAACAAGTCCAAAGGAGTAGATCCTGTAAGGAATAAAATGAAACAATAAAATGTCACAGCAACTCTGTAATAAGAATATATATCATTGAATGTCAGTGTTTTAATTATTGATTGATCAATTTTAGAGAAAAAAAACCCAAATTTTATGTCTTTTTTTGTTTTGTTGGGTTTCATGTCGTATTGACATAGTAGAGGCTATATGGCGGCTTCTAAACTATAATGGTGATGGAAGACCTCCGATGACCCTCTGTGCATTATTTCTGGCATTGTGGCACCCAGGTAGAACCACAAACCACTCGGCAATAGATACCCCTTATCAACAAACACGACAGCGATTATTTCTCAAGATCTGTTTTTACTATGTACTATAAATTTCATAACATCTCTCTAACTGTGCAAATATCAACCTTTAAATATAATAACTTGCCTCTCAACTCTGGTGCTTTCAACTTTTTTAAAACATTTAATATTATTCTCAAAAAACTGGAAAATTGTTCATCTCAACAAAAAATTCTTAAGAAACTGTCAAATCTAAATACTTAAACATACAGTATTGTACATAAAATATTATAATGATTTTCATTAAGAAACAAACCTGGCTGTCCAAGCATGTGCTGAAAACGTATATCACTGCTTATTATGTGAAACAAGTCCATCCAGAGGGACATGGAATTAAGACGTCCTTGTTCGTGTAACTCGTCAAGGAGAACAAGAAAACCTTCACGATTTTTACGCTGTTGTCGTTTAAGTCTCCGTCGTTCGCGTTCTTTCTCGTCGTCATTCTCCTGTTCGAGCATTCTGATGTGGTCCTCGAAACATACCAAGGCATCTTCTTTGTCCATGTCTGAAATATGACATCATAAGAATGTTTAATAACATTAAAAAGTTTTAAATGTCGATTCTGCATATAATTTTGTTTGTTTGTTTGTTTTGGGTTTTACGTCACATCAACACAGTAAAGGTCATATCGCTACGTTCCAGCTTTACTGCTGAAGGAAGACCTCAGGTGCACTTCCGTGCATTATTTCAGGCACAAACAGGCACCTGAGTAGAACCACGGACGTTCCGTAATCTGCACATTATATCAACTGTTAATCAGAATGCAACTGTCATGAAATACACTTGACACAAATACACATTTTCATAAAAGTAAAAATTTACATTAAAATCCCTCAATTTATGATGAAGAAATGGCCAGTACTCATTTTTTCAGATATTTTTTTTATCTTCATTTGATCTCTGCATATGCATTGACCTTGGCCACTCAGACTTTGCACAATATATCTTGATTTTGAGCACAACATTGCCTCACAATGATGAACTATTATGCCAAGTTATACAACAACCCATCAATGCATGTAGAATTTTCAATACGGACACCGGTTTTCTTCTGACCTCTGCGTGACCTTGATGACAAGGTTCATGTTTGCAACAATACGTCTCATGATAATGAACATTTGTGTCAAATAATACTACGATCTGGCCACACATGCTCCAGACTAAAGTGGGCCGCCTACTTATCATGCCTGCCCAACTGTACACTAGGTGTAATCTCATAACACAAACTAGTTTTTATTTGTTTTTGTTTTTTTTAATAAAAAAACCTTAAATGGTAGATTTGGTATAGATACTTTGACTTCTTTCTTTCTATGAAAGGGGGCTTCCAAACACAGGTTAAACATATACTATGCTCATCATTTATTAAAATATTGTTGTCACAAAAATTTATTGCAATCCATGAAATTCTTACTGTATATGTCTAATTTGAAATTTAAAAAAATTAACAACTATGTATGGGAAGCTGTGTTTCCTATTACTGTTCAAATAAAATTGGTCTTTTCTTTCAAAAAAACTGCCAGTTTTTTTATATCACTATATATTCATATCATGACTACCTGCAGAGGATTTTAAACATAACATATCTATATTGTATAAAATCTAAACATGTTTATTTCATATTTACAAAAAAGTCTGAGTAGCAATCATCAATATTTTCTAATATCAAATTTGAGCATAGCATATCTTTAAGCTGTATAAATATTACACAAATGAGACAAAGAAATAATTTGCATACTCTGTAGATCGGGGTCCTCTGTGAATCTTGGATTGTCCAATAACATCTGTTGGGCCTCCGACCATGTGGTACTGTTAGTCAAGGTAGGCATACTGTCCAGTATCTCGTTAAATACTTTGATATTTCTCTTTCTCAGTGTCTTCGCATCTTCCTATGAAAAAAAAACCCGGGTGTATACCTTTTCAAGTTAATTTGTAACCCAGGTGTATACCTTTTCAAGTTAATTTGTAACCCAGGTGTATACCGTTTCAAGTTAATTTTTAACCCAGGGGTATACCTTTTCAAGTTAATTTGTAACCCAGGTGTATACCTTTTCAAGTTAATTTGTAACCCAGGTGTATACCGTTTCAAGTTAATTTTTAACCCAGGTGTATACCTTTTCAAGTTAATTTGTAACCCAGGTGTATACCGTTTCAAGTTAATTTTTAACCCAGGGGTATACCTTTTCAAGTTAATTTGTAACCAAGGTGTATACCTTTTCAAGTTAATTTGTAACCCAGGTGTATACCGTTTCAAGTTAATTTTTAACCCAGGTGTATACCTTTTCAAGTTAATTTGTAACCCAGGTGTATACCTTTTCAAGTTAATTTGTAACCCAGGGGTATACCTTTTCAAGTTAATTTTTAACCCAGGGGTATACCTTTTCAAGTTAATTTTTAACCCAGGGGTATACCTTTTCAAGTTAATTTGTAACCAAGGTGTATACCTTTTCAAGTTAATTTTTAAAACTTTTAAAGTGGCATTTTGCCCATCCAAGTGTAAATAGTAAGTGCACAGGTCAAAGTCAAATTTAAACTACATTTTGTCATATTTGTATTCAAATTTCAAGAATAATCCGTAATCTATGACACACAGAAATTTCTATAAATATTGTTTTGTATTAATTAAATATTAGAATGTATTGGGAATGTTCAATTTTTAAAAAAGAGTGTGTTGGTCTTTGTATAATTTATGTACTTTTTATATTTTATCTTACACATTTTTTTATATCAATCATTAGTCAATCACCATTATGATAGTCAATCTTTTTACATATAATATAACTTCAACTCAACTTGACAGCAAAAAATTGAGCATAATGTCACTTTATGGTCATATGTGGAGGTTTTAGCTCATAAATGCTCACTTGATTCATTTTGTCAGGTAAAAGACATTTGAATGGACCTGTTTATCAATCTATAGAAGCAATAAAAACCATTTCAAAATTTGCATATTAAAACCAACTAGACCTATCACTGAAGGTGATTAATACCCCCACCAGCAACTTTGACTTTTTGAAAAATAAGTAGTCTGAAGAAAAATTTGAACATAAACTATCAACTGTGTACAAAGAAATATTTCAATTAATAATTGTAATCCCAACTGGGATCTCCAAATAAGCTTGCTATACACCAAGTTTGATTACAATATCTCATTCCTAATTCCAGTAATTCTCCAGAAACCATTTTTCTATTTTTAGTAACATGATCTTGACCTTGACCCCAGCAGGTCCAAATGCAATACCAGCCGGGGTCTTCAAATAATCTTGCTATACACATAGTTTTATAACAATATCTCATTCCTAACTCTAGTTATGTCCGAAAACCATTTTTCTATTTTTAGTAACAATGTAACAGTGACCTTGACCCCAGGGAATCCAAATGCAATACCAACCCAGGTCTTCATATAAGCTTCCTATACACCAAGTTTGATTACAATATCTCATTTCTAACTCAAGTTATTGTCCGGAAACCATTTTTCTATTTTTAGTAATGGTGACCTTGACCTAGATCCCAGGGGGTCCAAATGCAATACCAACTGGGGTCTTCTTATAAGCTTGCTATACATCAAGCTGATTATAATATCTCATTCGTAATAGTTATTGTCCGGAAACCATTTTTTTTATTTTTAGTAACAGTGACCTTGACGCCAGGAGGTCCAAATGCAATACCAAACCGGAGTCTCCACATAAGGTTGCTTTATACCAAGTTTGATTACAATACCTCATTCCAAACTCTAGTTATCACCTGGAAATCATGATGTGGACTGACCAACCGACCAACCAACTGACCGACAAGCTGACTCCTATATACCCCCATAAACTTCATTTGTGGGGGTATAAAAAGATTAAAGATAAGGAAAAATGATGGTTTGTCTGTGTAAGTTGTTAATTTTGTAGCAAGATTTTTCTTTCACTACCTTAACCAGATTTATAATTGATACTTTTATCTCAATTTCTCAAAATGTACACTGAAAAAACAAGGATGGTACAAAAACAACAATAGGATGGTACAAAAACAACAACAAAAATTGTGATGCAGATATTATCATTTATGTGGGTATATAATAGTGTAGCTTACAACCTGAAAGATTTGATAATATACTTTTTTTGTTGGGGTGATTAAAGATCCTGTATTTTGTAATTTTGTATGTATTTGTGTTTATGTATACTCGACACCGTTTACCCATATGGGCGAGTCCTCCAGGAGAGTATAAGTCATTTTATATTTTGGAGGATAGTGCAATTACAGATGCAGAAAGATGCCCCAATTCCAGAAGCTTCTCCTGCTTCTTTAGCGTGCCAAGTATTTAAGCACCCATACACGGGACCTTGATTTAAAAGTCTCATCCGAAAGACTGATTAGTTATTTTAGTTGTAATTAAGGATGTATCATACAGTTAAGTGAAGTTTTTATATATGTAATATTATTATTCTTCTACAACAATTTCCGACAACAACATCCAAGAATATGTAAAAACATGTACAGCAAATGTTTATATACATTTTCATTAAACGTTAAAATTAATGAATTCATTTTTTATTGAAAAAACTAGCTTAAACTTTATCGAAAATAAATTTCGAATTACCTCCCTTTATTTACAGGAAATGTTAAATTCAGTAATATCTTTACAAGTAATGCTGTTTGAAACATACAAGATTGTTAAATCTTCATTTGAGCATCAGATTTATCATAAACCATAAAAAAAATTTGCGTTACAGGGTCTTTGAATTTTGTAATGAACCGACCTTTTCTCGTTTTTCAAGCATATGTACCACATCATCAAACAGTTCCCTCCTGTCCCGGTCATTAACAGCTTGCCATTCATCATAGTCCGAAAACAAACTGTCAGCTTTCCTGAAATACAGATATATGTTACTTCACTGGTACAGTGTCATGTTTTAAAGGAACTCCACTGAGGTTCAAAAGCTTAAAATCATAATTTAAAATTTGAATTTTTACATAGATCAGCCAAGGCACTTTAAACAGACACAAATGAAAAAGAAAATTAAGATTTAAACTCAGAAATAAATTGAAAATCATATTTTTGTGCTATTCTTAGCTTGACTTGAGTGAAAAGAGTTGCAACACTTTTCAATTTCGGGTAATTTGACACAATTGGAATAATTAAGCTGGAAAAACGGAATGAGTGGATGATCTAAATTTTGCACACAAGTAATAAGACTAGACCTGCATCAAATACAAAATTAATTTCTAAAAATTATTTCCATGGATTATTAATTTCAAAATAATTATTTCCAGTCCCATCATGTCATAAAATCCTCAGAGGAGTGCCTTTAAATGAAACATAGCAAAAAAATGATGGAAGCTCCTCAAACTAGATTTCTGTCAATATACTACAATGCAAAATATTAAAGAAAATATAAAAATCTATTTTTAGCATCGCTGACCTTGACTTTGACAGCTAAGATAAAATTTAGAGCACTACCAATGGTATGTCTTACCAAATATAAAAGACATTGGTCAAGAAGTAAAGGCTGTACGAACAAAAGTGTAAACATCTATTTTTAGAATAAGTGTCCTTGACCCATGTGACCCCTAACTCCACTTAAAAAGTAAGAGGACCATCCAAGATATCTATCTACCATACAAGGAAAGATATTGGTCGAAATAATTGCTAGGAGCAACTTAAGGAAAGCATTACAGCAAACATAATAAAACTTTGGAAGGACGAAGCAGCGTCTATAAAAATTATGGGAGCATTAATCTAAATATCAGCAGATTCTGGCCCCCGTGTTCACATAGATTTAAGGATCAGGATCAAGATAAGGATCAAATTTAAAAACTCAAATATTCTTCTTTATTAATCCTCATAGATTCAATATTATCTTGATAAAACTGGACTTGAAATAGCATCTTTATGAATTTTTAGAATAGATTTATTGTTATTTTTACAAGATACGGGCATTTTACAGTTGATCCATATTTTGATTTTGATTCTAAAATTGATTCTCATTTTGATCGGATTATTTTTGTATTTGTTTTGTTATTTGTTGATTTTATGCCAAAATAGGTAGGTTTCTTTGTAAATAAGCAATTATTATCATTCCGAATTATATTATGTACCATTTAATTCTAGCATAATACGATCAGTTTTAGTTTTATAAAACAATGAAAATAAAATCAGGATCATTTGAGTCTGTTCCTGATCTTTTCTTTGTGAACACGGGGCCTGTATTCTGTTACCACTCACCAATATTTAACACTAGAGGTCATCTTATCATGATGTAACAAGAACTGTTCAAGATCTTCCTTTGCCTGCTTGGCTCTAAGTCTGGCTTCTTCCTGTATTAAACAATATTATTATATGTATGCAACAATATAATTTAGTTGAAGCTACTTCTTCACATTTCTATGATACAAGTTTTTTATTCAAAAACAAATCATGTAATAAAGTGATTACAGAAATAAATCATACCTGAAACAAAGTGCTAGATGCAAAATTTGATACAAACAAATTGCTTATTAAGTAAATTGCTAATATACATGTAAATATCTATTTCACAAAGTTAGTCAACCTCCTTTGTGAAATAGATAGATACTTATTTATTAATTGTTTCCAGAATAGTTTCTACATTAAATTAAAAAAAACAAACTCAAAAAACACATAGCCTATAGCACAGACTTATAATACAAAGGGATAGGAAGTTCTAAACTTAAAATATTTTCTTCTCCATACCCACAATCCTTTGTGCGAGATATATTGGCTGTTGAAGTTGGTCGATTTTCGCCATCTTGTTTGAAATAAATGATTGTTTATTGGTCTAGATCAGTTTCCATTTTATTATTATTTCATCTTATTTTTGCATAATTGCAAATACTTAAATGACATAAAGTCATTTTTTAAATAAATCATTTTTGAAAAAAAAGAAAAGAAAAGAAAAAAAATTCTTTGCAAATTCAAGATGACAGAAATGGTCTCGGGAAATCTCATAAAAACTAGAAATGTGTCATCATGCCACGGATGCCCCCGCATGCAGCCAAAATATCTAGGCATTAATTATTTTTTTCGTTTTAAGTTCAAAGCCCTTAAAACATTTCAATGTTAACACAAACCATTTTCATACATCATGTTCAAGGCACTGAAATTATTCAGTCTTAACCTTTTAAAAATAGCATATTGCATATTTGTAGCCAAAATAATGGCTAAAAGTAAGCGTGCTGAAACTGAAAGTTCAAAATTTTTCAAACATTCAGGAAAGATAAGTTTGTCTAAAATCATTGAACCACGACCAAATTCAAACTGAAACTGCTTATTCCTAAGATGTATCTATATTATTTTCAAAGTGAAAGGGACATAACTCTGCCAAAAAATCATCAAACCATGACCAAATTCCAACTTGACCTGCCCATTCCTTTGACATATCCATATGTCAAATTTAAGTTGAATATGTAACACTGATGGGTAGATAATGAACAGAAACTGTAAATTTCATATTATTTTCAAAGTGAAAGGGGCATTACTCTGCCAAAAATCATTGAACCATGACCAAATTCAAACTTGGCCTGGGCATTCCAAAAACATATCCATATGTCAAATTTGAGTTGAATGTGTTGTACCATTGGGAAGATAATAAAAGGAAACTGAAAATTTCATATTACTTTCAAAGTGAAAGGGGCATAACTCTGCCAAAAATTATTGACCATGACCAAATTCAAACTTGACCTGCGCATTCCTTTGACGCATCCATATGTCAAGTTTCAGTTGAATGTGTTGTACCTTTTGGGGAGATAATGAACGGAAACTGAAAATTTCATATTATTTTCAAAGTAAAAGGGGCATAACTTTGCCAAAAATCATCGAACCATGACCAAATTCAAACTTGACCTGTATTTTCTCATGACATATCCATATGTCAAGTTTGAGTTGAATGTGTTGTACCGTTGGGGAGATAATGAACAGAAACTGAAAATTTCATATTATTTTCAAAGTAAAAGGGGCATAACTCTGCCAAAAATCATCGAACCATGACCAAATTCGAACTTGACCTGTATTTTCTCATGAAATATCCATATGTCAAGTTTGAGTTGAATGTGTTGTACCGTTGGGGAGAAAATGAACGGAAACTGAAATTTCATATTATTTTCAAAGTAAAAGGAGCATAACTCTGCCAAAAATCATCGAACCATGACCAAATTCGAACTTGACCTGTATTTTCTCATGACATATCCATATGTCAAATTTGAGTTGAATGTGTCCAACCATTCTTAAGATAATGAACGGAAACTGATGAGGACAGAATGACGGAAGGACAGAAGGACGGAATGACGGAACAGGGTAACACTATATGCTCCCGCCATGTAATATGCCCCCGCCATTACATGGCGGGGCAAAAAAATGTGAACTTGCGGGATTATAAATTGTTGATACAGATTTTAAGTGTAAAATGTCATAGAATCTCTCTCCATTTAAATATAGCTCTGCGCTCATAGTATAAATTTTCTGACTTTTTTTTTCCACATTGCTCGTAATAACTCACCTTTTCTTCCTTCACTCGCTGCGTCTTGTACTCATTAAATGCTTGTTTTCTCTCATTTAGATGTTTCAACGCCCCGTAGCGTGGATCATTTACTATCAACTTCATGGCGTTCTCCCAGGTTGCGTTAGACGGCACTTTCTGAATGACAAAAATAAACCAACTTCAATTCTATGTCATGATGGTAGAAATATTCATAATACCAGTATTTTTGTATAAATTGTACTTGAAAAATTTTTTTAAAGGCCCATTATGCCTCAGAAATGCTTTTCTGTTTATTCTTCACAAGCTTTTTATTTTTGATGACCAGTTATATTTTCCAAAATGTTACTCATTGGCCAATAACCTAAGGCATCTTTTTCATCTGCTGCTTTTTGGCAATAAGTACAGTTAAAGTGAATAAGTATTTTGTATGGAAGTCAAAATACTACTTTGTTTACATTTTGCTACTTTTATGACAAATAATTCCACATTCGTCATTACGTACTGTCTTTGAGTGTAATGCATCTAACATGCTCTCAAATCATTATTTGAGCCGTGTCATGACAAAACCAACATAGTGCGTTTGCGACCAGCATGGAACCAGACCAGCCTGCGCATCCATGCTGGTCGCAAACCCATTATGTTGGTTTTGTCATGATGCGGCTCATTTTAATGTTATTAAACCAATGTACACTCTTTCTAAAGAAGGGGAAAAAACACACTTATTTCTGAGGTATAATGTGCCTTAAAAACAATTTAAACAAGTACAGAATCTATTATGAATCAATATACATCAGAAACACTCAAAAGAAAAAAGTCCACCAGCATAAAACCTGAACATAATTATAGTTTTTATCTTTATGTTAATGGAGGCTGTCTGGACATGATGTAACTAACAGTATTTATCACACACCCGTGCCGATTTTGCGACTACGTAAAAATGCATATTTTTTGACATGGCATCATTAGCATTATACAAACATAGTGTAAAGAGGGGGTAAATATTAGCGCTATACTTTAGGCGGGTCAAAGAAAAATGACTCTTTATTCACTTTAAACAGTCTTTATTTTGGGTATGTGATAAATAAGATTATTAAATTCATTTAAGTTCATTACTAAATTTATTGAACTCAATGAATAAAATAATATTATGCTTGCCAGAGGCTCGCATAATATAATTTTATTCAACTTGTGCATTAAATACAGTATTGAACTTACACTCATTCAATATCCTCTATTTATTTAATTTTCCTGATCATACTTAATTACTCAATTAATGACCTGGTAAAAAAACCTTTTCCAAATATAGATAACTTTATATGCAATGAAAAAATTATAAATGAACAATTTTTTGACAATGAATAAAAGTTTTTTATTCGATGTCAAATAATCAAATAAATCATTTATAGATTATTTTGTTGTTGTTGGGTTTAAGGTCACCCCAACACAGTATAGGTCATATGGTGACTTCCAGATTTACTTATGGAGGAAGACTTTATGTGTGCATTATTTCAGGCATGAACGTGCAGGCACATAAGTAGAAATACTGACGATCCGTAAACTAGCTGGATAGCTAATCCAAAGTCACTGCTGAGTTACGAAACCTGCAGCGGTGAAGTAGTTAGTGGTTTGAAGTCAACAACATTAACCACTCGGCCACAGACGTCCCTGAATCTATTTATAAGCACTTAATTAAATTCTCATGTCATTATAAACTGCTAAATGAACATCTCAATTTTGTTAAACTGGCATAACCATACCTTTTCTTTCAACAATGATTTGAAGGCATCCATTGCTTCCTTCTTGTTACGGAACTTCAGGTTGACCGGCGGTTTCTTCTGTACTGGTTTTTCCTCCTCAGACTCCTCACTACTGTAGATATATAAATATATATTTATTTTAAACCTTTTACACTGCAAAAGAATTTAAAGTTAGATTTGCAAAGAAACATTGCAATCGCCCAACTGTTAAAGTCATACATATATATATAAATATATATTTATTTTAAACCTTTACACTGCAAAAGAATTTAAAGTTAGATTTGCAAAGAAACATTGCAATCGCCCAACTGTTAAAGTCATACATATATATATAAATATATATTTATTTTAAACCTTTTACACTGCAAAAGAATTTAAAGTTAGATTTGCAAGGACACATTGCAATCATCCCCACTCATACATATTCCTTATTTTTATAACAGATGTATACAATGAAAATTGAATGTTAAAAGAGTTCTTGTAGAAAAGTAATTCTAGTACTGTACTTGAATAAAAGTTTTATGCTAGTGTTTTTTTGTTTTGTTTTGTTTTTTGGTTTTTTTTTTTGCATTCAGAGGCCCAGCCTATACAAACAGTATTCACTTCACTGACAGCAAAAACTCACTTTAAACTAGCTCTTATCCTACAATGAACATCTTCACCGGGATTTACCGGGATAGAGTCTGGTAAGCCTCGGCCTGCACTGGAGTGCAGTGTGACCAGGTTGGTATATAAACTTTGTATATTATGATATTGAAAATCCCCTTTACTTTTTAAAAGAACTGTTACAAAATTCAAAGCAAGGTTTAAAACATTACAAAAATAGAGTAGGTTAAATGAGCCGCATCACAACAAAACAACATAATGCGTTTGCGACCAGCAAGGATCCGCTCAGTCTGATCAGATCATGCTGTTCGCTTTACCAACTCTATAACAAGTAGAGAAACTGATAGTGAAACAGCATAGATCCTGATCAGACTGCGCGGATGCGCAGGGCTGGTTTGAATCCATTGCAAAATGAAAACTATGTTTGGTTTTTGTTGTGACACGACTCAAATGTATCATACCCTGCTATTCCTGAAGATTCCTTCTCCACAGGTTTTTTGGGTTTGTGTGACACGCTTTTGGCGGACGGCTGGTCGCTCAATAGAGGCGTAGGGTGGCCTGCATGGCTTGTTCTATTGTAGACAGAGGTTTGGCAGGGTTAGGGGCCTCCGTACTGGCTGGAGCGTCACTGGCTGCTGATTCCCCTTCTGTAAAATAATAATATATTGTTTTTATTATTGTTTATATAAAAAGGAGATCCTGCAGTGTTATTATATTATTTATATGAAAGGGAAATCATACATTGTTTTTTATATTGTTTATATGAAACAGAGATTATACAGTGTTTTTCATATTGTTATATGAATGAGAAAGGAAAAGAAATCATACATTTTGTTTTGTTGAAAGGGACGATAATACATGTTTATATGAAAGGAAGATTATAACATTGTTTATAAAACTATGAACCGGGAGGGGGGTCATAGATTGTTTATATGAAAGGGAAATCATACATTGTTTTTTTTATATTGCTTTATATGAAAGGGAGTTCATACAATTCTTTCAAAAATGTTGATCAAATAATGGACTGAACTTAGCCAAAAAGGACTTCATGATTTCCCTGACTTGAATATTGGTAACAAGTTTGAATATTAAGATAAAGTACTACCTCTCTTGTTCCCTTTGCTTTGCGATGCTTGCTGGAAAAAAAAAGAGAAATGCTTAACTTAAAGAAAAATTATAAGATAAAGAATGTATAGCAAGCAACTTTCCATAACTGATTCTTTACATTTTAAAATAAAGGGTACCCGATGTCGCTCACCAATGGCGCCAAATGCAACAAAATATTATTTCTGGCAGATAAATGGACAAGGAAGTATGTCACTGTCCCCTTGGGCAAGGCAAAATTTTGATCCATTCACAAAATTTCACTGGCGCCAACGTAAGATTAAAGAATCCTTCAAGTTTTCTCAAGTTCGTAAATATGGCAATTTGAGCAAAGGACGTATTATTGCTAAACAATCACAACATTAAGGATACTGCCACATATGAGTTCCACATTCGTGAGATGATTTGTGAATTTTTATCCTAAAACTCCTATTAAACGCCCCCATTGGTCTAACATTTTATTACAAGAGCCCCAAAATAGGTTTTGGACACAGAAAAGTACACCTCTTGTAGTTTCAGAGTTCTGTCTCTTGAAGAAGTTCAAAGTGCAATAATTCCAAATTAGGTAAGGCAGAGTTACTGTTCTTTGCAATGCACTTCTAATCAATGCGATCTATCAACCAACAAAGTTTCTTGTTGATACCTCTTATGGTTTCTGAGTTATGACCCGGACAAAGTTCAAAATGTTTTAAAAACTGAAACAAAGTGCAATAACTACAAAATTTGGCAAGGCAGAGCTTCAAGTTCTTAAGCACTTGCACCATCTACCCATTGAGATCTATCTACCTAAAAATTTTCATGTTTGATATCTCTTACAATTTTAGAGTTATGTCCTCGACAAGATTTTTTTTTTAAAGGGGAGATTAATTCAAAAACCTTGGGCTAGAATAGAGTTATGGTTCTTTTGACACTGCACTCCCCTCAATGAGAATCTAACTACCTACACTGTTTGATGTTGATATCTCTTTTTATAGTTTTAGAGTTATGTTCCGGACAAAGTTCAAAGTTGTTAAAATTAACAAAGGGCAATAACTCCAAGATTTTTCTAAAAGGGGAGATAATTAAAAAAACAGGGCAAAATAGAGTTATGGTTCTTTGACACTGCACTCCCCCTCAATGCCCTCTACCACTGTATCTAGTTTAAACAAATTATCTCCAAGGGTTTTCAAGTTATGCTCCCGACAAGATAACGGACGGACAGACAGATGGACAGACAAGGGGAGCATAAAAACTCTCCTAAAATTTCTCCTAAATCCAAAATAATCATTGTAAATATGTTTGGTGTTAAACAAGTTTTCATAATTACGTTTAAAAGAGTTAAAGTTTAAAAGTTTATATGATACATTTTTGTGTTTACTATAAAATAAAATGGATTCTGAAGGATTTGAATAAATCATGGATTACTCTAGTTCAGCATTGGTGAGTAGATTTTCTTATCAAAAACCTGGGGGAGGGGTAAGGGCATTTAAAAGGAATTTTACAGTATCTGGAAATACAGTCGAGACTGTCATATGCGACTTTCCAAGGGATCTTCAGAAAAAGGTCACATATGACAGGGAGTCTCTAAATACAGTCTCAAAGAAAATTAAATTTAAATACCATCTATCTGTCTATATATCATTGTGACTTAACATACATCAACTGTGTGTGAAGGCATCACATTAACCAATTGCAAATAAACATTCGTATCGTAAATTTTTATGTAAAATAAAATAAGAAATCCATGGTAAAACAACCTCTATATTAGCATGTTATATCGACATAAAATTTAATTTTACTTTTTTGTTTTAGATTTAAATGAAGCTTTTTTGTATTAATTAACTTTGAATTTTGATGCATCCATGTACTGTAAAGTTAAACATATCCATATCCAATTTTCTGGTTTGGTATCCGTATTTTTTCTGTATTAAATATGCAAGCCATAGAAGGTAAATAAAAAAAAAATGCTGCCTAAAATATATCTTCCGTTGGCACTCTTAATTAAAAAAAATCTGACACAAGCTTAATCCAGTATTACTCAGGTCATTATATGATACATTACACACCTTGCTTCCCATTAACAGACGCTTACTGACGTCACTCGATACCTGTATACATGTTAACTGTTGTAATTGAGACAGAGGTGTGTTTTAGACTTTGTTTGCTACTGGATTATAATTGACTTAATTATTTTGGCCCTCTGGGTGTTAAATAGGTATTATTTATTTCTGATTAACGGACAGTTAAAAGGTGTGAAAGTCGTTTAAATCAGACAAAACATTGCATTGGGACCAAAATTAGAGGTCGCTTGTCACATTCATGACAGGGAGTCAGTTTATTCAAGACCATTTTTTATAGGAAAATACGTTGGGAGTACTGAAACAAAGGTCGGATAAGACAGGAGTCGTTTAAAATCAGCGTGGGGTCGCTCAAGGCAGTCTCGACATGTATTTACCATATTTTTGAAGAAAAGTGAAATAACTTACACTCTTTCAGACTAACGCCTCGAGGACCATCTTTTAAACCAGCGCTCTAGCCTGGAAGTTTAAACATCTCAAGGATTTTCATGCTTTATTAACTTACATCGAAACCAACCTTTCTGAATGCCGTCCAGTTCTTTAGGTTTGGTTCCACCTGTGACTTCCTTGGTGACAGAGTTTTGATAGTAAACTTCCCTGTATCTTGATTTATATTCTTGTCCATGGAATTCTTGCTAGCACATCACATGAAATAGTGGTAAATTAAAGTTCTCACAGTCATCACAGAAATTTGAAATATTAACTCTAGACGCGAGGTTGCTGGATTTATTAATCTTACACTACTGAAATATGAATATTGTTATATAATTTTTTAAGACAATACCCCAAATTCTTCCCATTAAAATCAATGTTATAAACATGCAATCTAATTATATTCAAATTTGTCCAATGAAAATGCATGGTAAAAACATGCACTGTGACAATACTTCAAGTTTGTTTAATGAAAATCAATGTTATAAACATGCAGTTTGACACTACTCCAAATTTGTCCAATGAAAATCAATGTTATAAACAATTTTCCAAATTTGTCCAATGAAAATTAATGTTATAAACAGGCAGTGTCATATAACTTCAAATTTGACCAATGAAAATTGATGTTGTAAACATGCAGTTTGACAATACTCAAAATTATGTTAAAAACAATTGTCCAAATTTGTCCAATGAAAATTCATGCAGTGAGACAATACTTCAAATTTGTCCAATGAAAATCAATGTTATAAACATGCATTTTGACAATACCGTTTAAGTGGTTTTTTCTGCGGGCTCCAAATTCTGCAGTTTTTCAAAAATTTGGCATGTTTTTATTTCTGCGGACTTTATTTCTGTGGCACAGTCTTTGGACAAAACGTGAATTAAATTCTGCGGCTCATCTTATCAAAGTCTAAATTAACCTCTACCCTATTTATGTGCAATTACGCTACACATTCAGATTTAAATTTTGTTTCTCGTCATCACTGTCAAAACTATATAGTAAATTACAAACAATTATATATGGTTTGCTTGCAAACAAATATACATGTGCAGACAATTAGACAGCATGCATCTTTTGGAATCAGCCGTGAAATGATGTGTGAAAATTTACCCCGCCGCTACGCTGTAGTATCTTTAATTTTAATAAAATTGGACAGAGTTATCGTAATCAGACAACAATTAATGCATACGTCAATTATTTAGTGTATGTATAAGGGGTTAAAAAATGGTTTAATGACTTTAGTTTGGCTTAAACCCAAACCTTTGTCTTACGTCACAGGCAAACACTGTTGATGTTTAAAATGATCTTTATTCATGAATTGGCATAATTAACAGTAGGTACATCCCTTACAAGCAGTAGTAATTACATACTTTAGCAGAAATCAATTTTATATAACTCGATGACTCGCTAACCTTTATAATCCCGTTAGTCCATTGATTTTCTGAGAGGAATCAAGTCAAATGTAGGACACTATCGTTAAAAAAAACATGGAAAATATTCTGCGGTTTTATTTCTGCGGCGCAGAAGACTGACGCAGAAAACACAGAATAAAGTCACCACAGAAAAACCACTTTACTTGGCTGACTTGCAATTTGACCAGGTGCCTTGATGTCTACTATGGCTACCTCTGTCTCAGTCTGTAAGTCTTTTGGCTTCTCCCCTCGACCTGCTTGGTTACATTGTTATAGTAATTAAGTTCTTCCATCTGGGCTTATGTTCCAGTCCAGGTGCTTCTAGCATGAAAAAGTTTAAATCTAACAATAACAATCCTTTTAAAATATTTGGGTGTTGATGTTGAGTTGTTTACCCCCCAATTCACCGTCAGTAAGGCCACATTTAATTTTACGAGAACACAGTTCAGCACCGCCCTCATTCCTGGACAGGCTGTTAAGCAGTTCACCAGTAACAGTTGCATGACTTTCACAAAGAACTGATAACTTCTGAACATACAAGAGCAGACCTACAGTGCGAGAGACTGTAGAAAAGATTTCATGATCAATCACAATGAAATGAACCTATGCCATTCGGGAGTCGAAACCTGGTCACCTGATTCACAGCCAACACTCTACCTTTATTTAGCTAACAAGACAGCAATTTTAAATATTCCAAATATCAAAGACTAAATTTCTAATATGAACATTAATATCACAAAGAATGTTACTAACACAATCCTGGAAGTGTAACAGAAAATTGAACATGAAATAGACATAATACTGTTTACAATTAAGCTTTTTTTCCCTTTACTTTGCATTGAAAATTTTAAATACATTTCGAAATGTTTTTATCTGTACATTTAGTAGTGTCAAGTTATTTCATAAACATTTTTCATTTGTGGACTGTTCTAAGCACAAGAAGCAAAGTTAGTAAACGTTCCTTTAACGTGATCAAATGTAGGCAACAAGTAATTGTACAATAATTCACCTTACAAGTAATATGCTACCTTTTCTGGTTTTTGATCTACCTGTCCCGGTGAGCTGGATGCAGCATTTGCCTGTTGTACACTAGCAACCATTGGGTTACCTGGCCCTAAAATAAGTTAATATAGTAAATTACATGTTGTACGCTAGCAACCATGATTTACCTGGCCCTACAATAAGTTAATATAGTAAATTACATGTTGCTACGCTAGCAACTATTGGAATTACATGGCCCTACAATAACGTTAATATAGTAAATTACATGTTGTACACTAGCAAAAACCATTGGATTACCTCGCCCACAATAAGTTAATATAGTAATTACATGTTGTACGCTAGAAACCATTGATACCTGGCCCTACAATAATGTAATATAGTAAAATTACACGTTGTACGCTAGCAACCCATTGGATTACCTGGCGATTACAATAAGTTAATATAGATAAATTACATTGTGTACGCTAGCACACTATTGGATTACATGGCCCCTTTCATAAGTAATATAGTTAATTACATGATTGTACACTAGCAACCATTGTATTACCTGGCCCTACAATAAGTTAATATAGTAAATTACATGTTGTACGCTAGAAACCATTGGATTACCTGCCCTACACAATAAGGTTAATATAGTAAATTACATGTTGTATGCTAGCAACCATTGGAATAACCTGGCCCTACAATAAGTTAATATAGTAAATTAACATGTTGTACCCTAGCAAACTATTGGCATACCGTGGGCCCTACAATAAAATGTAATATAAGTAAATTATACATGCTTTGTACCCTGAGCAACACATTGGGTACCTGGCCCTACAATAAGCTTACATATAGTAAATTACATGTTGTACCGCTAGCAACCATTGGATAACCTAGCCCTACAATAAGTTAATATAGTAAATTACATGTTTTACCCTAGCAAACATTTGGATCTACCTGGCCGATTACAATAAGTTAATATGTAAATTACATGTTGTATGCTAGCAACCATTGGATTTACCTTGCCCCTACAAGTAATTAATTATAGTAAATTACATGTTGTACGCTAGCAAACATTGGTTTACCTGGCCCTACATGTTATATAATAAATTAAATGTTGTACACTAGCAAACATTGGGATTACCTGACTCTACAGATAAGTTAATATAGTAAATTACATGTTGGTACGCTAGCAAACATTGTTTGACCTGCCCTACAATAAGTTAATATAAGTAAATGTAAATGTTGTACACTAGCAAACATTGGCATTACTGACTCTACAATAAGTTAATATACGTAAATAACATTGGTGTACGCTAGCAACCATTGGCATTACCTGTCGCCCTACAAAAGTTAATATAGTAAATAAATGTTGTACTCGTAGCAACCATAGGATTACCTGGCCCTACAATAAATTAATGTAGTAAATTTACATGTTGTACGCTAGCAAACATTGGATTATCTGGCGATACAATAAGTTAATATAGTAAATTGACATGTTGTACACTAGCAAAACATTGGATCTACCTGGCCTACAATAAGTTAATATAGTAAAATAACATGTTGTACGCTAGCAGACATGGGATTACCTGGCCCTACAATAAGTTAATAATACTAAATTACAATGTTTGTACGCTAGCAACCATAGGATAACCTGGCCCCACTACAATAAGTTAAATTAAACTAAATTACATGTGTACGGCTAGCAACCATTGGATTTACCTGGCCCTACAATAAGTTAATATAGTAAATAAACATGTTGTACGCTAGCAACCATAGGATAACCTTGCCCTACAATAAAGTTAATAAACTAAATTACATGTCCTGTACACTAGGCAAAACCATATTGGATTTACCTGGGCCCTACAATTATAGGTTAATATCTAGTAAATAAACATGTTGTACGCTAGCAACCATAGGATAACCTGGCCCTACAATAAGTTAATAAACTAAATTACATGTTGTACGCTAGCAAACATTGGATTACCTGGCCCTACCATAAGTTAATATAATAAATTACATGCTGTACGCTAGCAACCATAGGATTACCTGGCCCTACAATAAGTTAATATAGTAAATAACATGTTGTACGCTACAACCATTGGATTACCTGGCCATACAATAAGTTAACATACTAAAATACATGTTGTACACTAGCAACCATTGGTTTACCTGGCCCTACAATAAGTTAATATACTAAATTCAGGCTGTCCAGCACCTTCTGACAAAAAATTAGGGCAAATTTAAGGGCAATTTTTAAGAAATTTTAGGGCAAAAATAAGGAATTCTAGGGCAAGTAAAAGAAATTTTAGGGCTAAAATTTGGTATTTTATAACTAAATTATGGCCCCAAAAGACCATTATAAATATGGGCTCAACTTTGCATATTTGACACAAAAGTAAGTAACTCACAAATAATGCTCTAGTTCAGTTATAACAAAGGTGTCTACCAGTGTTCCATAGTCACCCGTTAATAAATGGATTCACTGGTCAACTGCCTTTAGCTGCCTACTATGAATAAGAGCTGAAAAACTTAACTACATTAAAACATTACTAGAATGAAAACATTTTTAAAGTTATGAGTATTCCGGAACAACCAATATTCAATTAGTTAAACTGTTATTTGCCAATGGTAAATGGAAGGAGAAATTATGCTTTAAATTTATTCTAGCTATAAATGCATAAAAAAATTATCAACATTTATTCATTTTAAGGTTGGTACATTTTCAACAAGTCTTGATCTTTTTTAAAAACAATAAAAACGATATGACCCACTCATGTTATTCCCAGGAATATTTTAACTTAAATTCAAACAGCAGGGTATCCTCCCACTGAAGACTTTGTTAAAGATAAATCAGGGCTACTAAAAATTGTGGAAATTTTAGAGTCAATCTATTCAATGATTTTTAACAGTTTTTTTTTTCCAGATTTAAAAAAAAACATACACTAAATGTTATAACATATTTACAGTACATTGCATTGGTATGACTAATGTTAAATGTGTACAAAAAGGGCAGCTGAAGGTGTCACTTCTTAGTTCACTAATTGGGGTGCAAAATGATAAAAGCATCCAATCATTACAGCCAGTTTACCTTACCCACTTTATAATATTACCAAATATGAAAACTTGTCTGGTATCATTTACAAAAGATCTATTCTACAGTCATCACTTGAAAATACCTTTATTACAAATTAAGATTTTATTAAAAAGGTCCCCTACATAAAGTCTGATGAAATTTAGTGGTATCTTTAAATAAACCTATTAGACTGAGGTAAATAGTAAAACTCTGTAGCAAATAATAATATAACTTGCTTGGAAATTTTTATCTCTATTTGAAACAAGTGACTATTTTGATATAGTCAAAGTCAGACAATTTTCATTGTTGCATTTCGGATAGCATCTGGCAATTAATCAAGTATGGCATTTCTGCAGAAGTTAGAGTAAATACAACTTATGACTATATGCAATTTAGTCAGACATGACATCATCGCCACTGACTGTGTTAAAATTCAGGTTTTGATTCGGGATATGTTATAACAAAAGATAAAAAAAATTAGGAATTTCAGTGAAAAAATAGGGCATTTTTAGGAATTCCCTTTGAATTTTTCATTTTTTTAGGAATTTTAGCCAAACTGAAAAAAATTAGGATTTTTTAGGAATTTTAGGGACGCTGGACAGCCTGTAAATTACATGTTGTACGCTAGCAAATTACATGTTGTACGCTAGCAACCATTAGATTACCTGGCCCTGCTTTAAGTTAATATAGTAAATTACATGTTGTACGCTAGCAAATTACATGTTGTACGCTAGCAACCATTAGATTACCTGGCCCTGCTGTAAGTTAATATACTAAATTACATGTTGTACGCTAGCAAATTACATGTTGTACGCTAGCAAACATTGGATTACCTGGCCCTACAATACATTAATATAGGTAAAAATTACATGTGTGTACGCTACCGCTAACCATTGGATTACAAACTGGCCCTAACAATAACGTTAATAAAAGCAATGATTAAACATGTTGTACGCTAGGCAACCACTTGGAAATTACCTGCGGCCCTAACAATAAGACTAATATAGTAAATTACATGTTGTACGCTAGCAAACCATTGGGATTACCTGGCCCTTACCAATAAGTTAATATAATAAAATTACATGTTGCTACGCTAGCAAACACTGGATTACCTGCCCTACAATAAAGTTAATTATAGTAAAATCTAACATGTTGTACGCTAGCAACCATTAGATAAACCTGCGGCCCACAATAAGTTAATATAGCAAATTACATGTATGTACGCTAGCAACCATTGGATACCTAGGCCCTACAATAAGTTTAAAATATAGTGTATTACATGCTTGTACGCCTAGCAAACATTGGATTACCTGCCCAACAATTGAAGTTAATGTAGTAAAATACATGGTATGTAACACTAGCAACCATTGGCTTACCATGCCCTACAATAAGTTAATGTAGTAAAATACATGTTGTACACTAGCAACCATTGGATTACCTGGCCATACAATAAGTTAATATAATAAATTACATGTTGTATTTTTTTTCTGGTTACTTTGTCATACAACTTTACAAACTTAAAAGCAAAGATTAACGATAAGATTTATTAAGCCTTTATATCTCAAATTTTCTATTTTAACACATACTATAGTAATACAAAACACTTAAAGTTTGCAAAATATGTTTTGTTTTGCAAATTTTTAACATATTTTTTATCAAATCTTGATGGTCTGTCAACCTAACCGGATTTCCTGGATAGCTAAGTACATACAAATTACTCCACTAAAAACCCAACAGTGGACCAAAATAATATCCAAACATTAAATGCCCCTTAAATCACCAAATATGGTAATAACTAACTTTACTAAGAAAGTTTTGGTGAAGTAATAAATTTTGCAAATTAAAGAAATAGTGTAACATTATTCTCTAAAAATAGAGTTTAGATTTTACCTGGAAAAGGTGCATGCCAATACCTGGTAGTGGCATCATAGGTGGAAATTCCCTCCAGCCACTAATAACTATAAAGAATAAACAGTTTGCATTTCAATTATCGTCATACTTTATTACATCCATAGTTTACAGTTTATACCGAATATTTAAGAATTAACTATGCTCATTCCTTGCAGCTAATAAAGAAGACTTTAAGGGAATATAACAAGAGCTCTCGCGTAGACAGCAACGCTCGACTATTCTTAGTGCTTGATAGTAAAAAAAATGCTTTATACATTTACCTCCTCCTGTTTACAGGTTGGGGTCATGATGGTGAACAAGTGTGCAAAGTTTCAAAAGCCATAGTCAATGGACTTTGAAAATATTTGAACTATTACAAAACTTTAACGTAAATTCTAAGTCGAAAAAAGGGGCATAATTCTGTCAAAATGCTTGATAGAGTTACCTCCTCCTGTTTACAGGTTTGGGGTCATGATGGTGAACAAGTGTGCAAAGTTTCAAAGCCATATGTCAATGGACTTTGAAAAATTTGAACTATTACAAAAACTTTAACGTAAATTCTAAGTCGAAAAAGGGCATAATTCTGTCAAA